ACGCATCCTTTCCTCGAACCGTTTTTTGAGGAAACACGCGTTGCTATTTGCAAAAAATAGTGTCCCACCCTGTATTAGGAATATTGTATGCAGCCTACGCGACGGCATTGGGTTTTTGCGAGATTAATTTCGCGCTGGCAATTTCCAGGGTTCCGTTCTACCAATAAAACCACATAAAATAAAACGGAAGGTCCGTCTGTATCTGTCAGTCACAGGCAATTTTCTCACAACAGCAGTATTTAATGGAAAAGGGTTTGGTGGCCCGTAGCTTAATATTGATTTTGATTTATAACTGTACCTAAATGTTTGTAACCAACTCAGTAGCCTTATGGATAGTCCAGTATATTAATACTCATATTTGCAGACATAAGCAGGTAAGTACCTAAAAACCGATTTAACTAGTAAGTAGTTATACATAATCTTTATGAACAGATTTGTAAGAAAGATAGATAAATAATANATATAATATAATATCTTTTCATCTCTTTTTCATTGTATGATTGTTACAAATATTTCAACATATTTTATCCATCACAAGAGAAAGACCATGTACCTAAAATTTTCCCAATCTAGTGGAAATAATAGGATTCATCTGTAGAGTTCGATCTTCACACAATGATAGATTCCATTATAGGTCCCTACGGGATACTTTATCTAGAAAGAGCCTACTTAGAAGATGCTTTTAAGGAAAAACCACATAAGTGTGTTCGTCGGGTGCGCCAAAGTTCACCTAAATTTTCAACTCCGAAAATTGGAAGTCCGAAAATGTTCTTCCTAAAATTTTTCATCCTAACAATCACAATTCCTAACTACTCTGTCTCTAATGTTCATAATTCCGAATCATTCAACTTCATAATGTCATTAGCAATAAACATCTATTATACTTTTATTTGTTCTCCTAGATTTTCTAAACATAACCATATTTTACACTATTATTCAAAGTCATAAGAAATCTAAACAAAAAGGATATATCCTTTTTGTTAAAGTTCAAGTTTGTTGGCATTAGCATGTATACTTGAGTCCAGCTCCAGTCATTCAGTCAAGTTCAAAATCAAAATCAAAATCAAAATCAAAAATATTTATTCAGTTTAGACCACAAGTGGCACTTATGAACGTCAATAGAAAATAATAAAAAAAGAAAAAGGTAGCCCTTATGGGGCACTTTACATGTCTCCTTATCTTTTGGGCCCTACCAGCGCTTCGAGACAAACATATGGCAAGTGCTGAGAAGAAACGCCGGAACAAACTCAGTCACCACTTATTGCCAGGAATTATCTAACGGTAAGAATAGTCAAATTTAAGTACATCAAATATGTGCAGACTGAACTGACCACGCATCCTTGTCATCAATATAGTCTCGAACCTTGTAGTACCCTTTGGACATAAGGGTATTTTTTATATGTATCTTAAATTTGTTTATTGGCAATTCGACAAGGTTGTGTGGTATTTTGTTAAATATGGTAATACATTTCCCCAAGAATGAATTACCTATCTTATGCAACCTAAATGATGGAACAGCAAGTTTATTCTTATGTCTCGTGTTAAATGAGTGGACGTCACTTTTCTTAGTAAATAAATGTATATGTTTACGGACATACATAATGTTATCAAATATGTATTGCGAAGCCACAGTCAATATATTGATTTCTTTAAAAACTTCTCTAAGCGAGTCACGTGGTTTAAGACCGTATATTGCCCGAACAGCTCTTTTCTGTAAAATGAAAATTGATTCTATGTCTGCTGCTGAGCCCCACAGTAAAAGACCATAAGACATAATACTATGAAAATAACTAAAATATACAAGCCTTGCTGTTTCAACATCAGTCAAGTTTCTGATCTTTCTCACCGCAAAGGCAGCTGAACTAAGTCTTCCCGCCAAGGCAGCAATATGGGGGCCCCATTGTAATTTACAGTCTAGGGTAATACCTAGAAAGACAGTAGAGTTTATCAGTTCAATGCGTTCATTATTTACTGTAATATTAGTATTAACTTGTTTGACATTAGGCATAGTGAATTTTAAACATTTGGTTTTTTTTGCGTTTAATAGCAAATTATTAGTTGTAAACCAGTCTAATACTTTGGAAAGAGCATTATTCACGTCGTCAAATATTTCCTGACGCCTGTCAGTTTTAAAAATTAAAGAAGTGTCATCAGCAAATAATACTATCTCACAAAGGTCCTTTGAATAAAAAGGTAGATCATTTATATAAATCAGAAAGAGCAATGGTCCCAGTATTGAGCCTTGGGGCACTCCCATTTTTAGGGGGGCGCCCGAAGAGTTAGTTCCGTGAATATTTACTTTTTGTAATCTGTCTGAGAGGTAAGAGTGTAATAGGCTTAAGGCCTTGCCTGATACGCCATAATGTTCTAGCTTAAATAACAGAGTTTGATGATCAACACAGTCAAACGCCTTCGATAAGTCACAAAATACACCAATAGCATCTTTTTTCTCCTGCCAAGCATCGAAAATGTGTTTGATAAGAGCAACCCCTGCATCGGTCGTACTTTTCCCTTTTGTGAACCCATATTGTTTTTCATGAAACAGTTTATTTAAGTTAAAATGAGACAGTAGTTGATTGAAAATAATTTTTTCAAATATTTTACTGAGCGCAGGTAGTATCGATATAGGTCTAAAGTTGGATGGGTCACTTTTGTCTCCTGCTTTAAATAATGGTATGATTTTACTATGTTTCATCAGGGTAGGGAACTGACCTTCGTTAATACATTCATTAAAGATATGAGCTAAATGGGGAGCTATAAGAGGAATGATGGGTTTTATTATGTCTGTTGATATGCCCCATATATCCTCTGTCTTTTTTATATTTAGTTCTTTGAAAGTTTTTATAATAACTATGGGGTCTATTTGCTATTTCCAGAAACGAATCGGTCCTATTCATAATTATTGGTTTAGGTTAGGCACAGATATGGATTAGAGTAGATACAGCAAGTTGATCGTCAAAGCGTGCCATTCCGATATGTCCAAATGGACATACATGGTCGAGTGATGTTCATGTAATCCGATTACAACAATCGGTTACGATAATTTTACGAGAACAGTAGTACGATTACGAACACGGTAGAATGAAGATATTATTTACGGATTGAGAATTGTAATTGCACAAGTAGCAAATATTAAAGCAAATTTAATTAAAGTAGCAGTGAAAGAAGTATAAAGTAGCATTGTTTTTAATACATATCCTGCGATGTACTCTTAAGAGTTAAAACCATGGTCCCTGTATGTGGTGCACTCATACCGATCCCAAGGAACCGTACTTACTCATAACAATAAGACACACACTGATCCATGTATTCATGCACTTGACTTAGGTTAGGTTAGAACTGTGACCACAACGCACGAGCCGAGCGAGCGAAGCCAGAGTCCCGCTCCAGTCATTCAGTCAATTTCCCGAATCGAATCGGTCTTATTCATAATTATTTGTTTAGGTTAGGTTAGAACTGTGGCCTTACGTTTCATTCGCGAAGAACGTACTTGTATGGTTTGTAGGGCCATACATTTATTTAAGTAGAGTTGAAGTTAGTTGAAGTAGAGTTGAAGAGCACATCGCGAAGAAAAGATCTCCAAAGTTTAAAGTTTATATTGTAGTAAAATATTGACAGAGTTATCGTGGCAAATCTTTTCTTGAGTAGTAGTGTTACGTGGGATGGTTGTTGACGTACTGAGTTATAATAATGAAAAATACTTAAAATAGTAACTAACGCGCGCCCAAAAAGTGGGACGCAAACGTAAGCGTAAAAGTAAGTGCAATGTACGATGGCTTGCCCGTACAGTACTTCTGTACGTAGTAGGTAGGTAGGTTATTACACTATAAAAGAATATCTAGATGATAAAATAAGATGAGTCTATTAATCTAATAATTAAAAAAGCCTCCTCTCTTATATTTTATATTTTAAATTGCAGCGCCCAACAGGGTCCATAATTAACTGTATTATCACACTGTAACACCTATATTACCTACTATGTATTATGGAAGCAATAAACATATTGAGTATTGAGTATTGAGTATTATTAATCTATGGTATGAGTGAAAATATTATGGTAATGTTTAGGGATAAAAGTGTTATGATAAAAAACAGTAGGAGTTTAAATATATTTACATAAATGATATTATTAATTACAATTTTCGGAAACATGAGTGTTATGAAAATCGCTGGTAGCACTACAAATAGTATGAATGAAAACTTTAGGATGAAACATTTTAGGAAGAGTGATCATTCGGATTTAAAATCGTTAGGAAGAACAATTTCGGGTAAATAACTTTAGTTGAGCCAATATGGACCCGTGTTCGTCATTAGTCACTTTTGATTTATTGGATATGTTCATTCTTCCATCGTGTTGGACGTTACATTTTTATTAATTACATACTGACTTTGCGAAACCTTCCGTTGAAGTTTACTGTACATATTAATTGTTACGTGTTAATTAATATTCCAATAGAGCCTACGTCCAAATTGTCAGTTTCACTGGACCATAACAATGATCCAGGATGCGTTTCCATCAGGCTATACGTCTACACGAGCGTCCCTGCGACAATGGTCCCGACACAATACCAATGTGTCACGACCACTCCGGCGTAACTGGGGCGCTGCCAACTGGTCCATTCAACGCGTCTATACACCTGATCTGGAGCTTGCTATAGGCGAATCTGTGCTAAATCTGATTTCGACAGACTAACAAGATGTCCAATCCAACCGCTGCACAGTACCTATTGTTGATGTTGCTGCTTGTAATTAACTAAATAAATGGTCAAGGGGTTTTCATCAATAAAATTGAAAATTTTCAGTTAATTGAATAGATATTTAATTTGGAAAAAAACACAGTATTATTTCTCCATAATGTTTATTCGTAGCAACATTCAAGTGTGCAATTTACGTCATGTAATTAGCTGAATTACACTACAATATTATATTCACCTTTATTATTATAGATGACTAACATCGTTTTAACAATACTAAAATATTATACGATACGTTTAATAAAATAAAATATTATTTTCATAGACACTTAAGACTATTTACAGAAATGTTAGTGAAGTAACTTTATCAGAAGACAATAATGAAGTTTTCGTTAAAAAGGGATACAAATAATGCGTTAATACTTTCTAAAGTTAGCTAACGCACTTGTTAGTTACAGTCATTCAGCCAGTCTGCAACCTCAGCATTGGTCCTAAAGTGCTGCCTTGCGCAACGCCGCATTTGCTTTCCCTGTATCGACACCTGTATCTTTGTTTAGTTTTCACCAAACGTTTTCAGTACAACATAAAATGATTACGATATAATTAAAGGAATGAAAGATACGGAATGTAACTTCCATTATTTAAGTAAGTTCGTTAATATAAAATAACGTGGTAGGTATACAAAGTTTCGAAATATGATATGTTTCTGGTAGAAACTTTCTACTTACATAATGTTTAACAATATTTTAATTTTAGGGTACTATAAATGTTTTCATTTAAGAATTAAACTTATTTAAATGTTTCATAATAAGTTTTTTCACATTAAGTTGTATTGTGTTCCTTTTACACGCCTATGTAGATATTTCTTACAATATTTGGCTCGTTATCTTTTGGCGCCTCAAAAGTATTTTTAATAACACTTCTGAACTCAAGGTTTGGGTGATACCTAAATTATAAATACATTTTTAAATTGAAATTTTTCAGTAAAATGAAACAATCTAGTTGCTAACATTGTTCGCTTTGTGTTTGAAGATACTTTATTAATAATATTTCGCAGTATTTATGGCCCTAACTAAGTTAGGTATTCGTCTACCTCCTCTTAACTTTCGAGCAATTTTTATTCTTGGATCCCGATTTCCTTTTCAACGGACCTTTAGCAGCAAGCGCGGCGTCCGTTTGTGTGGTCTGGTCGACCGCCGGCTCGGAGACTGTCGCTTGTTTTTGTAAATCTTGAGTTGGTATCTTTTTGCACGGCACCGCATTGCTTTTTAGGTTTTTCCTGCGTTTCCCTTTTATTATATCCGCGGGGTCGAAGTGTTCTTCGCAAATGAGGTGGTTTTGTGATCGCTTGTTCATCAAATCCTCTCGTGTAATTAGTTTTAGCCATGTTGAACGCCTGAAATAGAAGTTCGTGGGTAATGTTTTTATTGTAATATATAGTAGTCGGAAGAAATATAGGAAATATGGTTGTAGATATTATTAGAAGTAAATAACGCTTCTAAAAGCTTCATGATTAATAATTCAATGATCTATCAAAATCGTAGCTACTTTTAAACTTCATTTTTATGATGTTAAAACCTAAAAATTGCCTTAAAGAACCGCCTTTAATAAACCACATTAATAAAGAATAATATGAAGATAAAAAAAATAGAACCAGTAACAACCTGTTACTATAGTAGTAAGCTAAACTTGAATACTAGATGCACAGCTCTAGCGAAATGCGGATTGCGGTAAGCGCGCTTTGCTCTGTAATTTACAGTAGTTAGAACTAGAGATGGGTTTCCACCCGGGTAAAAACCCACATAAGGGTAAAAACCCAATAAAAACCCGTTTCATTCCACCCGTGGGTGTTTACACCGGGCGACAACAAATAATTTTATAATTATTTCAATTGGTATCTTTTCTTTATTTTTATTGAATTTTTCTCATTTAAGTTTATTGATTAATAAGTAATAAGTCAAATTTAACACTAATATGCATTTATATCGTGGCCAAATCGTAAAATTGATCACGTTATGATGATGTGACCAATTATTTTATAAAATGGTGTTATTTCAAGAATCGTTGAACCGATTTAGAAGAATTAGTAGGAACACAATAATTTGTGATCATAGCAAGGACATGGAGGGGAGGGGGGGGGATGCCAAAGATGCCAAACTCTCTCTTTGATGACATTACGGTATACAGTTACAAATAACAACACCAACTACAAAGTACTTCTGCTTAAAAACTTGAAATCGAACCGCCCTTCCGCAACTGTAACGCATTGTAACGTTTTTCAAGACCTCCTCTCCCCCCAGATTGCATTACGTAACACTAGAACGCCCCCTTAGCAACAAATACCACTTCTCACTTTAAAAAAACGCTATTTTTGTTTTCACCCACCAGAATGGGTGATAATGGGTAAAAACCGGGTTTTTACCCAAATCACCCAGTTTTAACCCAATCGGGTGAAATGGGTTTTTACCCACTACCCATCTCTAGTTAGAACTTAGATTTTAGCAAAGATATTTTTTTACCTATTTACGATCACCCGATTGTATACAAACGAAATGATAAAATCTCCAGAACGACAGCCAAGCTCTAATGGTCAAGCTACATGTATGTAGTTACTTAGAAATAAGTAGAGTTAAACAATTCTGACAAAAACGGTCAATATTACAAGAGCATTAAAGCAAATGTCATTAGAATACAAAACAATTAGACTGGTGAGCATTTACCATAGGTAAATAAATTAAAGATCATTTATGAATAGTATTCACTCTATTGTTGTTTGGAAAGAGTGACCTATTTCCGGTTAGAACGAATGATTTTATGTAATTGGGTAAGTATGCCTAGTTCTTACATGACGACAGTGTGTTCCAAAAATTATGGAAGAGTTAACTTTGATGTGCCGCCGACTGAAAAAAGAGACGCAAGTTTATTTTATAAAAAAAACGTCTAAAGTAAACATACATTTATAGTTACATTTATTTTGAATGGATGCGTCTCTTGTCTGGTAAAACGAAATATTTAGTGTGGTTTTGGTGGCTTGAAATAGGTTGGTGTGTACCTAGATATAAATATTTTTAAAATCACAAACCTATAAGCACCGGCCGGTAAAGTAGTAAGTAAGTACGGGCGCACATCAAGCAAAACAATGAGGCATTACAGACACATACCTAATTGCAACAGGTGCTATCACAAAAAAAACACAAATACCTAAACCTAATTTTATTATTGTAAGTGTTATATGTTGTCGACTGTACATGGCCACTAGATGTTTCTTACCTTACTTCATCCTCATTGGGGACGGTAAAAAACGAAGGAATTGCTTTCGATACATCAGAGCTCCAGCATCCGGGAACAACACAATTCCTCCTCATGTTTAATATTAAATGCACGTTATTCTCCCATTAATCCTGTCCAATTTTCACAGGACACACTAACACTGATATTTTGGACTATTTTCAAAATACGCAGCTGATATTTTCGCTTGTCAAACAGTCCCTGCTATCTTGCTGTAATTATTGATGAGCAGGTAACAGGAGTACCGTAACCCTGCGAAGTAAAGACGACGATCCAACTACGTAGTTGCGGTATGGAACGGTACCTCTCAATTTGTTAGAATATGAGTTGTTAGCGCCGCTGCAAAACGTCAGATGGCGCTCGAAAGCTTTTGTAAGTTGCTCCAGATGTCACTACAGACCACAGCTTTCATGTTTCTACTGTACGGCACGGTATGATAGAAACATTGAAGCAAAGATTGCACTCTTTCCCAAAATTATTGCACTTTGCAAAATTATTGGTGGTCTATATTTCTGTGACGAACTGTGTGTTCTGTGGGCGCACGATAAAATCAATACTATGACTATCAACTAGGTACGCGTGTCCCGCGCGAAAGCATTTACAGCAGCTCACTAACTACCTACCTACATAACTCTACATAATTTTGGATCCGCTTCTCGTATTGACTCTACTCAATAATTTTTTTTTCTGATCTGCTCTTAACGGAGGTTGAGGTAATTAATTTACTTTATTTTATTTTCACCGATTACTCCGTCAATTGTAAAATACAATGATGTATTTAGCCTAAGATAATACTGTGCATGTTTCTTGGGATAAATGACAGAAACGTGTTATCATTGAAAATATCCTTCCAAAATGCTGAAATACCTACTCTAAATGCAAATAATTTTACAATCCCAATCCGCGAATTCATTAACCGCAATTCACTGTCAAATTAATTCCCAAGTAATTGCTCCTTGAGCCAAAGGTCAGGGCTTTGCCCTGTTGAAGTAACTCGCCTCGCTTGGTCGCAACCTAAGGGCTTCTGAAAACTAATTTGAGCTAGATTTCTGAAGACTGTTTCCAAGACCCGGCTGCCCAATCTAATGGCATTAGTTTGTAATCAATCATTATGGATATCGTGTGCGACGAATTATGTAGAGTCATGGATTTTTTCCCCGCACAACAACTGTTAATTTAGGTATATTTTATGTAATAAATAATGTTATTATGTAATAAAACTAAACAAAGTTGTACCTACTGCACCACTTTGTTTAGTTTTATTTATTAAAAAAAAGTAGAGCTACTTACTTATTTGTTCCTTATGATATCATAAGGAAGGCCTATATAGGCCCTTGGTTCTACAGATCATACTTGGGGCTCTACATAGCGTTTTGTTTTCCTTTTCTGACAACTATGTAGAGATCAATAAAAATAAACGGGTATTGTATCTCGTACTAAATAAGTTCCCTAAATATTTGGGATACTAATGCCTGTTTTCACCATCAACCCCTAATTTCTAAGTGACTCCTTTGAAAACAAAATTCCTGTTATGTGTTCCCATAGGGGTCACTTAAAAATTAGGGATTGATGGTGAAAACGGGCATAAGTCTGTTTACATTACTTCATCCTTAAAAAATAATGTGACCAAAAAACGCGACTATTCTCGATATAACAGCTTTATTCAAAAAACCCAAACTATAAGTTCTTCATCATGTCCTGCATAGAGGTCAGGTAGCGGCTGGCGTTCTTGGCCAGCTCGGCCACGTCGTCGCCATGCCGGCGCTCCACGAGCGGCTCGCCGCTCCGGTCGTCAGCTACTGCCTCCTGATTTTGCACATCTTCTTCATTTCGTACGGAATCCTCGTCCATTTGAGCAGGATTTTCTTCAGCACCTTTAAGACACAAGACATAAGTTGAGCAAATATTAAAAAAATACAACAAGTTGCACCTGATTAGCTTTCCCCCAGGACTACTCAACCTTCACTGGTTGGGTTTCATTGGAAGCTAAGCTTTAGATCATGGCTATGCAATAGTTACAGTGGTAATAAAGTGTGGTGGGATAAGTCCCGTGAAAATGCACTTGGATGCAAGTAGCGCTGGACCGGTCATTGTGGAAATTCTTGGAAGAGTCCTTTGTAGAATCTAAATCTAAACCTTCTCTGATAAAACCAACAACTAAAAGAAAAAGAAAGTTAACATTAATGGCCTTTACAATACAGATCTACATAATGAGCCCAGATTTTTTTCCAAAAACCATGATGCCACTACTACTACTTTGGTTGAAACGCACGAACCAGTCACTAGAAAGAAAGAAAGAAAAAGTTGTTATTCAATACACATAACATCTTAGACAGTTCTGTAAAAATGAATGTACACAATCATATTGAAAAGGTATCCACTCAGTATGGTGTCGTAGCATGTCAGTAGATAATGCCACGACGCTGGTCTTCCGTGGACCACTACTACATACTATAGTCTTTATCCTCCTCCGCCCGCTGGTGCAACCTCGACCTGGCCATCTGCTGGTTGAACTGGTGCGAGGCGCGGCGCCAGATCTTCCGGATCTGATCTCCGAGCGGAGAGTCGACCATCTGCTTCGCTATGGACTGCACATCCTCCAGGTTTGCTGTCAGTAAGATGTACGAGTGCACCGAGTTGGCAGCCAAGATCACTGTGGATAAAAAATACATTAATTAAGGTAACTAGATGTATTTTCAAGATCAATATCTTAGGGTATTCGATAAAGGGAGCGCTATGAGAGATCTCACTTCCAGCAGTGGACTACCATTGACTGAAATTATGTATTTATAATGCCCACCACATAATTTCGGATTTCCACAATGAATTTTTAATATGTTTTTTTAAACGCATGTCGACCTTCATACGTAGAGTTGTACAGTGAAATATTATCACGCTGTCTACCGTCACATATACTAAAGGAAATCTCATTATTCTAAGTTCAGCAGGCTTCCAAATTTTTCCCACAACGGTAGGTCCGATGTTAATTCGGTTTCTTTTTGAAAGAGATTGAAAGCGATCTTTCTGAGAAATTGGATCGGGCACCCGAAAATGCTGTGACGTCATATTACCTACAATATTTTCGTGACAAGAAACAATTTTGGTTGTTATTTTTGATGGGCTTTTGTTTACGTTACCACTTTTAGATTTTAATGTTGCTGGAAATAGGTATTCACAAAAATAGTAGCCAGTCAGTAGCGATTATTTAATTTCACCTCAGTACGTAATAGTTGAATGCATTTTTTAAATGCAAACTGTAAAATTAAGGTAAACAAAATAGGTACTCTTATCCTATCAAAATATAAAAATACTTATTTTAATCATTTCAGAAAAACTGGTAACTATAATATTCGCTAGGTTACCTAAATATTGTTTAAAACACGCGTGTTTATCCACTGCTTATTGTTCTGGGCCTAAGTAAATTAGGCGGGCTTATTGATACTAAAAAAAAAACAATTATCTGGTTAGGTATTATGTTAGTAAAGCAATTTATTTTAGAGCTTTATGAAAAAATCCAAAGATATAGGTACCTAATTGAAATTCGGCCTAACTGATATTATAGGTACAATCTACCTTGAGCTAACTAAATCTACGGTCTGAAATAAGCGTTGAGCCCTAGTATAATTTATACACCACGAACACGCCACAATAGTTGTAAAACGATACTAAACTAGGTTTTAGTTATTCTGTTTAGCCAAAAAGTTTGCCTTGGTATTAAAGATGAAATAAGTAAATAGGCGTTATGAAAGTGTGAATTTTATGTAATGTTCATGTGAATGTTATGTTATATCTATGCTTATCAGTTTGGGATGGGACTGGATGGAATCAGTGTGATTTATTTAATATTATTGGATAATTAATTGAATTTATTGACGCACCTATAATTGCAATTTAGAATAGAATAGAAAGTATTTAAAATAATAATGATTTATTATATTTATAATAATGATTTAATTTTGCAAAAATTCACATGCCAGCTGCGCTGGTGAGATAAGCTGCACCTCTCTTTAACTCAAGACCACTTATTGTACCACATTAACTCTGTGAATAAATATTCTTTGAATCTTTGATAATTGTATTTTTTTTATTATATTGATGATATCCATAGAAAATCCAGATTATATCAAATCCTTCAGTTTGGGATATTATTATGAGAGAAAATGTAGAGCCCATGGCTGCAAAGATCTCTCCATCTACCAACCACGGTCGGCTAGAACAGAGGTATGGCATTTAGAAGGTGGTTGATCGAACCCCCATTGCCTACGACTCTGACTAGAGTGGGGTTGCAAATTTTCGTTCACCTCTTTTTTGCCTACAAATCTACAACAGTACCTACATTCCCTAATACGTACTTAGCAACAAACGATAACGAAATTGCTCATAGGCTTAAGTTTACTGAAGGAAAAAGCCATTATGATTATGCATTAAGTTCGCTTTTTGTACCCTGTTCAAACATTAGGATAAAAATAAGTTGCTTACATACAAGTAGGTACCTATACTTATTATTTCTAATAATTTTAGTAGTATTTTTCTAGTAACTTACTACTAATCCACAAAGCAATAACAGCCATCGCGAATCCTCAGGGTGCAACACGCATTGATCAAAAAACTACCAACTTTAGTGAAACAACATAACTAAACTTAATCATACTTAACAAAGTGGGTATTACAATCTCGTTAATGATTTATTGAGTGTGAAATGAAAATTATTATTTTAGCGTGAGTTCATAATACCTACTTTTATTTACGAGTATCTTAGTTGGTATGCGATAGGAATAGGAGAGGCTAACCTAGCTTATTGTAATTTTGTGCTCCTTGCTGAATTATCATAAACCCTATCTATACGTAAACGTAATAAACATGAACACAGAGTTTTTCTTATAAATTGACCTACATAGAGAACCGACTCATGCTCATAATAACTTAATAAATATGATAATATTTTTAAAAATATCCATCAAGGATTTCGTGCTAGAGGTACAGGTAGATTACGAGTGTAACAGATCGAAACAAACCTAGGTAAATAGTATTTAATTTACTTTTTGAAAACACCAGCCTTGTCTTTGCATAAACCGTTACTAATTAAAGGTAGGGGNTATGAGTGCGGGTATATCGATATTTTTTCCGTTAATATTTTCTCTGGTAGGGTATTTTAAAATATAACACTCCAATGCGCGCAGGGGTCTAAATGTTCATTTTTTTGTTATGTGACAAAAACTAAAAATAAGTATCTACAAAGTTAATAATATCTAAATGAATCTTTATTTATTTCTTCACATAGTGAGAATTCTTTAAATATTATTAAGATGTTTATAACTATTGGCACTTATTTGTGAAGAAATGAATAAAAACTTTTTTATTTATTTACAAAAAATAATTAAAAATTAACAATGTGACGTCACACACGTTTTCAGCACTGGGTTTAAAAATAAATTTTATTTAAATGTAATTTTAAAAAGTTACATTAAATATTACTAGAATTAAAATATTATTAGAATTTAAAAATTCTAGTAATCATTTAATTATTGATAATATAGTAGGGTACGCATGACCACTATAAGTTCGAGTTCCTATTGATTTATTGACATGTACACTTATAGTGTTAACAATATATCTTATTATACCTGTGCATAATATAGCAAGTAGAATTCCTGACACAGTCATATGCAATTCTTTATTTTGGTTACATACACAGCCACTTCTACATATTTACTATAAAAATACGTCATCATTTATCTCACTTATGCCACTGCCGACCTACGAGTCGCATAATACTTACTTATTTTGCATACCAAACGATTTACCTACCTCAACTCAATTATGTAGACGCATTCACTTTACACAGTTATAAATTATATTGTGCCGCCCGCCTCGCTCCGTTCACCTCTGACATTCTAAATACATTACTGAATACGTGCTTATTTACTGTTGTGTGGTTCGGCCCGGCTGAAAATTATATTTTGGCCGGACCGTAATCGATAATGGTTAATATTTACTATCAGAATGTCAGGGGTCTGAGGACGAAGACGGTACAGTTTAAACGAAGTGTGCAACTACACAACTGGACGCCAATACGCAATACCATGTTAACCCACAAAAAATCGAAAACAGAGTTATGCACCTAACTGGAATTTCCTCTTGATAAGGAACGTTTTTCAAAAGAGTGGTATGTGCCATAAAATATTTCGTTTAACAAAATATCAATTTGAAAATATCTGAGGGCTCTGGATCTCACATAGATTATTAAGCAAAACAGTCGCAAGTCATATGACACTATTAGTGTATCGTTACCGGCCCTATTGTCCGAGCAAAAAACGTGTTATGACACTTGACACGTTATTGCGTATCTAACTTCAAATTAAACCGTTGGTGCCTTTCAGACAGTGTCAAGTGCAGCTCTGTGTTTTTTCGTGTTTTTAATCAGCACATTGTGATTCCTGACAAAAGAAGTGTAAAAACAGTTTCTATGTGGATTACTGATATGAAAATAAGTGGACGTTTCCAAGGTAAGTGCTTTATTTATACGATAGCTGATCAAATAGATTTTCGAGGTTATAGTTCGGACTTTTGCGAATATTCTGTGTACTAAGCACAGTAAAGCTTAAATGTTTGTTTTTAAGTATAAACTACAACACTTAAAGATTCATAATCTTCGTGTTCCGTGCCTCAACAATATTCAGATGTTGGTAAAATTGCTATTTTTTGATAGATAACCCTTAACACCTTATTGCAAAATAATGTTTTGACCACATTCGCGATCCTAGCACAATTTTAAAGCACTTGACATGGTTTTGAAAAATGAATAATAGCCAATCACTTTTATTAGAATTGAACGTCAAGAGACTTGACATTGTTTTGAAAAATTGATATTGGCTAATTACATTCATTAGAATTGAATGTCAAAGGACTTGAGATTGTTTAGCGAATAGAGACATTTCTTTTAATTCAAAATTATTATCGCGTTAAGCCTATTAGTACTAAAGGGTAGACTTAGATCACAATATACAGTGTTTGGTGTGTGTGTGTTTGTGTGTGTGTGTATGTGTATGTGTGTGCATGTGTGTTTGTGTGTGTGTGTTCGTGTGTGTGTTTCGTGTGTGTTTTCTGGGGCACACTGTATGTCGCCTTAACCTATTGTTTTTTTAAAGTAATTGCTTTTATTTCAGAATGTTCTCGAGAGGAAAAAATCGCGTTAAATTATGCAAAGCGCCTGATGCCAATCCTGCAAAAAGGACCGGACAAAAGCTATTCAGTAGGTAAGTACGCATGCAAATAAAAATAGACTTCAGCTTTCTGGGGCATCCTGTATGTCTCCTTAACCTATTGTTTATAAAGCAGTAATTACTTTTATTTCAGAATGTTGTTAAGAGGAAAAAATCTCGTTAAATTATGCGAAGCACCTGATGCCAATTCAAGCAGCCAACAATCACCGGGTTTGCCTCAGACTAGCACAGCTTCAACTCCAATAACTACCCATGCCTCTGATACGCCCCAATTCAGTGCTCCATCTCCAAGAATTACACATTCATCTGATTCGTCAATCACAAGAGAAGCATCACCAATCATTGGACAAACATCATCTACTAGTCATGAGCCAATTAATAACTTAAATTCTGCATCCAAAACAGTGGACATAATTCTACCAGTAGATGACAAAGAGTTGTTGGATGCAGTTAATTCCATAACAGCCAGCGTACCGTATAACGATCATCACAGGGATCTTACTCTAAATACAAATTCTATTGAAGATACTAACGTATTACCATCCGATATTTTGCTTGAAGAAAACGCTAGAACTCCTTCCATGGAACAATGCGAAGATATGTTCGGAAAGAACGATCTATCGCCACGAATCGCACAATCACCCGTTGAATCTGCTACAACCACAACACAACCTGAAATAATTCAAAATAACATGCCTCCTGAGAATATTCAATCTACACACGTGCTCCAAAATATTATTTCATCGCCCCAAAATCCAAGCAGCCAACAATCATCGGGTTTGCCACAGACTAGCACAGCTTCAACTCTAATAACTACCCAAGCCTCTGATACGCCCCAATTCAGTGCTCCATCTCCAAGAATTACACATTCATCTGATTTGTCAATCACAAGAGAAGCATCACCAATCATTGGACAAACATCATCTACTAGTCATGAGCCAATTGATAACCTTAATTCTGCAACCAAAACAATGGACATAATTCTACCAATAGATGACAAAGAGTTGTTAGATGCAGTTAATTCCATAACAGCCAGCGTACCGTATTACGATCATCACAGGGATCTTACTGTGAATGTAAATTCTATTGAAGATGCTAACGTATCACCATCCGATATTTTGCTTGAAGCAAACGCTAGAATTCCTTACATGGAACAATGCGAAGATATGTTCGGAAAGAACAATCTATCGCCACGAATCGGACTATCACCCTTTGAATCTGCTACAACCATAACACAACCTGAAATAATTCAATGTAACACGTCTCCTGAAAATATTCAATCTACAAACGTGCTCCAGAATATTATTTCATCGCCCCAAAATCCAAGCAGCCAACAATCATCGGGTTTGCCTCAGACTAGCATAGCTTCAACTCTAATAACTACCCAAGCCTCTGATACGCCCCAATTCAGTGCTCCATCTCCAAGAATTACACATTCTTCTGATTTGTCAGTCACAAGAGAAGCATCACCAATCATTGGAGAAACATCATCTACTAGTCATGAGCCAATAAATAACTTACCTCCAGCATGTGAACGACATGAGTGCAGCGATCCGGACTATATACCTATTTCAAGTAATGACGCTAATGATGAGCAAAACCAAGGTAGACCAAAACGAGGAAGAAAAAGGAAATACCCTGAACAAAACAGACATATTCGTAAAAAAAAGACTAACTGTAACGAAGACTACATAAGCGTGAAGGGAAAAGAAGTGACTAGAAAAATATTTTCTGGTGATTCTTTTGATTGTAAGTGTCCAAAAAAATGCACAGATAAAGTGACAGCAGAAGAACGCAAGAAAGAATTTGACAGATTTTGGATGTGTGGAAACTATGGTGCTAGGTGTGCAATCTTACAAGGATGTGTTACAGAAACGGAAACTAAAAGAAGTTATACTGCTAATTCAAAACGAAGCTTTACAAGATATTATCGTGTCAATGGAAAAACTGTGTGTAAAAAGACCTTTCTTAATACTTTTGGAATAAGCCAAACAAGAATTGATTTTGCACTGAAAAAATTTAAAAACCAGGAACCTGTCAATGATCAAAGAGGCCAAAAATCAGGTGGAAAGAATGCTACATCTCCTGAGAAACTTGCTGAAATTAAAGCCTTTATCAACAGTTTTCCGAGATACGTTTCACACTACTCGAGAAATAGCACAACTGCAAAGTACTTGGCACTTAATCTCAACATTGCAAAACTGTATGATCTCTACAAAGAAAAACATCCAAGTGGTGTTAGTTTGTCTAAATTTAGCAAAGTTTTCCATGAAGATTTCAATCTTTGTTTTAAAAAGAATCAGAAAGATACTTGTTACCGATGCGATCGCTACAAAGCTTTGAAAAGCTCACAAGCTTCAACAAGTACAGAAGCTTCAACTGCAGAACAAGAGCACAAAGAACACTTGGACAGAGCTTACAACTTGAGGAATCAAATGAAACAGGATTTGGAATCAGCGAAAACAAACCCAGAAATTGAAACGCTCACTTTTGATTTAGAAAAGACACACTGCTTGCCGAAAGTTCCCACGAGTATTGTTTATTACAAACGTCAGTTGAATCTCCACAATCTTGGAATACATAGTGGTAGCTCCGGAAAAGGCTATTTTTATGTCTGGGTTGAGTATGAGTCTGGCCGAGGCACTCAGGAAGTGGGCTCGTGCCTCAAGAGATATATTGAAGATTATTTAAAAATTGGAACGACCCATTTGATCCTCTGGGCTGACTCATGCGGGGGTCAAAACAGAAGTATAAAACTAGTTCTCATGCTGAAATATATTTTACAAAGACATAGTACATTGAAGAAAATAACATTGAGATTCTTACAGCCTGGTCATACCTACCTACCTAACGATTCAGAATTTGGGGATGTTGAATGTGCCTTGAAGACTCATAACCGTTTGTACACTGCTGATGACTATATTGAGGTCATGGAGTCATGTAGGCGTAAAAATAAATTTACTGTTACAAGGATGACCAAAGAAGACTTCTTTTCTATTTCGCCAATTCAAGACAGTATAACCAATCGTAAAACAGATATTAACAAGCAGAAGATTTCATGGTTATCAACTTGTGAAATTATCATGCGGAAAGAAGAACCTGCAAAAATTTATATGAATGAGAATTTAGCGGATGCTGAGCCTAAAATCACCGACATTTCCAAAGGGACAAAGGGTCGTAAAACAAAATTAAATATCGACTTTCAGACGGATCTACCAGTTCTTTATCCTGAAGGTCGTGAATTGTCCAGCGCAAAAATCAAGGATTTGAAAGAAATTCTGAAATTAGTACCACAGGATGCTAAGACATTTTACAATTTCTTGAAAAATGCGAACAGTGCTGATTTCGAAGATGATGTTGACGGATTTGGTATCAATATAGATTTTGACGTTGATTTGGATGATGTATCTGAATAATATTGAAGTTACTTTGGCGCTTCTATTTATTATCCTATGCTGTTTTCTAATAAGTTACAGATGCCCACCTGCGATTAGGGTTGTTGTTAGCTTTTGTTTTAAGATTAATGTCACGGAAATGTCTATCCAACATTTTTAGATACCTACTTAGAAAGTAGGTGTAGGAATCTCGTTTTTGTTGTTATCGTAAGCCTTGTTAATTTTTTGACGGTTTTAACGTAAGAGTGATCTCATTTTGTATGCCATGTTGTTTAGGTACATTGTTTAATTGTGTTATAGTCTAGGTATAGGCTATATTAAGACTGTATTTTTGATACTAACATCTATTTTAGCTAAAAGGTAATGTTTTAAGTCGTTTTTGTTGTGTTTGTAATAGATTTATTCCATAGAAGACCAATGTCGTTAAACTTTTAAGACTGATCTGCAACAAGTGCCTAGCCTACCTTAGAAGGTACATACATACATACTTAAAGAAGGTTATGAATATTTTTTGTTAGGTACCTACTTTCTTACTTGAGTACTGTCATATTTTTATATGGGGATGTTTTTTAAGACTGCTGATTTTTGATATGTCTAATTGTCCACGTATCACAAACAACGAGGACCTACTTATAATGTGCCAAAAAATAAAACTATGTGCCTTAGTTTGATGTTTGACTTTTTAGCTTATTTTATTACGGTGTCTAACTAATTAAGCAACACAGTGTTATGTCTCTTGACATTACGTAGAACAAATAGTACCCTGGTTTAGGAGTTTTTCAAAAACGTTTCAAGCTTCTTGACACTATTTCGACTCAAATTTAGTGTGATTCCGGATTTCGCAATAGCAAAACAGTTAAATAATTGCATTATTACTTGATATTGCGTAATTTAACTATTTCCAATGAGAGCAATCAATATTAGAAAGCAGTGGGTAACAATTAATATGACCTTATCACTAACCGTTTAAATTTGGGGGGCAATGTGTTATCTGAAACTTTAACATCGATTTTCTCAAAATGGCCGACTTGTGGGTTAACATGGTATTGCTTATTGGCGTCCAATTTTGTNAGACGTGGCTACTTGATGGAATTAGTAATAATGAACTATTCAGTGATGTGTATATGGTGTGGCGGCGAGACCGCGACTACTCGAGTGTCGGGCAGTCGCGCGGAGGTGGGGTCCTCATTGCGATCCGCCGTGACCTTGTAGCGCACGCGCGCCCCGAATGGCATTCTACAGCGGAAGATATTTGGGTTTCTCTTGATATTGGTGCGAACAAAACAAATAATTATCCTTTTACATTACATATTGGCTGTATATATTTATGCGAACAAAATCAGGGTTTATCTCTCGCCACGCAATTATCTAATTTTTCTGACAAAGTCCTTTCTGCCTGTGCTAGTAGTCCTCATGACAAATTTTTTATAGCCGGTGACTTTAACCTGAGCGATATTTCTTGGTGCTCGCTAAGTCACACTACTCATCTTACTCCTACATTTCGCAGTACTGATATCAATCATAGCGAAATACAAGACCTATTGAATATTTGCGACCTGAACCAATTTAATAACATTAGGAATCATAGGAGCGAGTTACTTGACCTAGTTTTGTCAAATAGTGATGTGTCGGTTTTCCACTGCACTGAACCACTGGTGGAGGAAGATGCTTACCATCCAGCCCTAATTTGCCACTTAAACTCCATTGAGCTACCTGATTTAAAGCCTCAGCCTAGACCCAAATATCTTTACAACAAGGGAGATTTTACCGCCATATGCACTGATCTTGACAACCAGGACTGGGATACCCTTCTGTCCTGTGGGACGGTGGACGATGCGGTCGAGTCATTTAACACTTTACTATGTACCTTAAGAGACAAGTATATACCGTCTAAATCTGTCCACCCGGGTCGATACCCAGTGTGGTACTCTCCTGCGTTGAAGAAAATCCTTAAAGAAAAAAATAAGGTTCATAAAAAACTTAGGATATATGGTAATAGGGCCGATTATGTCACATTCAAAGTTCTACGGGAGCGAGTAAAAAGGGTGGAACAGGAATGCTTTGATATTTATATAAAGAATACTGAACTTTCCATTCGTGATAATCCTAAAGCTTTCTGGTCCTACATACATGCTAGCTCGAAACATAGCTCGTATCCCTCCTCTATGACTATTGATAATAGTACCGTAACGTCAGGTGACGAGATCTGTAATGCCTTTGCCGAGTTCTTTAGCTCTAACTTTCTGAAACCGGGTTCTGAAACTAATGTTCCTCCCAGTGATACTTCGTTGTCTGATGTGACACTCTCGGTCTCTCCCGATATTTGCTCTATCGAAATCGTTGAAGAAAAAGTGTACAATATTCTAAAATCACTCGATTGCAATAAGTCGGCGGGACCAGACGGCTTGCACCCGGTCCTTATTTCAAGATGCGCGGAAAATCTGACTTTTCCTATTAGTTATTTGTTTAACCGTTCTATAAAAGAAGGTGTGGTACCTAGGATCTGGAAAACCGCGACCGTCACTCCTATTCATAAAAAAGGNAAACTTCCTGCGGGTAAGCTATTCATATTAGCTTTAAATTACATAATTGCGAAAGTTACGGTTATGTATGATAAATTCTTAATTCTTATAAAACTAAAATGAAGGTATTGTATTTTTACCAAAACGTCTATATCTACAAATGTATAATCGGCATACGCAGGAACTTACACCGCACTGCTGTTGTACCCTCGTTGCGCAAGCGCAGTGTCAATGGCGCATATGCCCCCGAATGTTAGACAAATATCGTCTGTGCTTTNTATTGTCCCCGGTCTACCCTACCTAAAAGAAGGGAGAGATTTACTTATAGGATGATTGTGATTGGGATACTCGACCTATTCCTTAATTTAATGAGGTTATACTAGAGGTCATTGGGGGGGAAGCCGGGGCATGGTCTTGGTGGTAATCGCTGACGTAGTGAGGTCAGCATTGCCTACAAAATGCCAAGAAGCCCTCTGCTGTGTTAAGTAGTGGAACACCGATGTAGCAGAACCCCGGCCAGTCCGCGTCATCCACGTCCTCGTCGTCCACCCTGGGACCTGCTGCAGCCACGCTCTGCGTGCCCACTACCTAGACTTGCAGCTGAGCTGAGGATGCAGGGCGAAAGGCGAGTATTCTGCGCCTGAAAACAGAATCTCATCACTAGGGAGGATACCCGAAAAAAACCGAGCTAGTCCAGAAGCTCTGAGGTGGCAGCCCCACCACTGGACTAGGGTACAGCGGGTTAATCACCCACTTGCCCGAAAATACTCGATTAACGAAACGTACACAACAAGAAGTCACTAGAGGTCATTAGTAACAAATTAAGTCCAGTGAGCTGTGACAGTTCTACGATTTTTTTGAAAATTATAATTATACAACAACAACAACAACAACTTAAGGCACGGTAATACTATCATACAGTATTGTAACTTCACATAACCGGACGAAACGCGAGCTTTCCTTCGAAATTCAAATCTCGGTATGCGCTCGACATGCAAAAGTCGGGGGTGTCGCGAATGTTCCACAGTAATAAACGGACGATGCCGATGTGTTGCTTTTTAAACAGTAAGCGCTCTTTATTTATAAAAATAATTACAAGTACTTATTTATACAGGGTGTTAGGTAAATGGGCTTATAAGCCGACACTAGCCCATGTTAACATTAAATGGTATGGTGAAGTCAGTGATATCATCATTTTAATTTTTTTAATTTTCATACAAAATAAAATTTATAAAATCAGATTTGTATGAAAATTAATGATGATATCAATTTTCTGACTTCACCATACCATTTATATGCACATGTTAACATGGGCTAGTGTCGGCTTATAAACCCATTTACCTAACACCCTGTATAATAATCAAGCATTTTGTACGCCTCAGTCGAGGCGCATACATTTTACGGTCGCAAAATAAGATTTGTTACTAAATCTTAACACAAATTTATTTTTTTAATTAAATGTACTAATCACAAAACAACATTCATTTATATCCTATTTCATTCACAAAGTATTTCTTTTGTCAAAATAAAAAAAAATGCAATCACAAAATACATTTTACAAAACTAGATAGAAATTCTAAGTAGGCGGATGTAATTAAAATAGGGTCTGCAGGTGGGCAGCCCTATCGCATGTTGTCATACCGTGACGTTCCACGCGGCTGTTGACATTTATTTCAAAAATATGGTCGAGTTGGAATACTGTATAGATAGTATTACCGTGCTTAAGGTTACTGGTAGTTCCCAAACTAGGTAATCCTGTCTCTTGGGAACTGGAGTTGATAGTTTGCTGTGTTTTACGGTTGTACGATTACTTTAAACTGCACAGGTACTGGCAAAAGTGAATTTTATGGGTGCATAAGGTATGTGTGGTGTGTGAGTGTGAACACACACCTACTCACAGGTGTGTGTTTGTGTGGGTATGTAAGAGAGAATTGTAAATAAACTACCCCTTTCAAGGAATAGGTTGAGTACTTATATCCCTGTCATCCTGTACTTAGATGGATATCTGAACGGCCGTTCGTTCGTTTCAGCCAAATGACGTCCACAGCTGAACAAAGGCCTCCCCCAAGGTTTTCTGCAATGAACGGTCCTGCGCTGCCCGCATCCAGGCTCTTCCCGCGACCTTTACCAGATCGTCGGTCCACCAAGTAGGAGGCCTGCCCACGCTACGTCTTCCAGCTGATCTATCACTACATCTTCTGAACGGCCATTAAAACAATAAAACCGTGATTTGAAGTTTATTAGCGAGAGCTGAGATCTATTCGTAAAATAAATAGCTTTAAACAGGTGTACTTAAACCTTTAACTTTTCTTTTTTTTAATAATGTAGTTTATAGTTTATGGTGTCGTAAAAAAAAGTATGTTATCTGTGCCAGACTCAGACTGTGCCAGATGACAAAAAAAGTGCGTGCACTGTCAACTATTGAATGTAGGAGGCAAAACAGAACATCAGCGCCATCTGTAGTTACCATCACAAACTATATAAACCATCATCAACTATCAAAAATTCTATTCTATTCTATTCTATTCTATAAATTATTCAAATTCATATTGATTAAATTTATGTAAGAAGAATCACTTAATATTTTATCCTATAAATAAAACATTATTTCGAAGGTACTACTAATTTTGATTATCTAGGCTGAAAGAATCAAAACGCAATAGGGTCCACCTGGAATATTATGAGTTTCAAAGGTTCATTCGTCATAAAATAATAATAATTTGAAAACAATGTGAAAGAATTTTTGAAGGTATTAGTACCATCGAATCGATCGAACATAGGGTTTTGTTGGGTAACTTGGATTGGTACATAAATAGGTATAAGACACTTCTTTGGGCTCATACAGCAAACCATATAGTTCTTAAACAAAAATATAGATGGCGCTTTTTTACAGCGACATATTTATTGTCTTTGCTTTACATTTTTGACACATGTTTTGTTTGTTTGTGTTTTCGTTCGGCTGAGAAAAGGAAATTTTGATAATTTGCTAGTCATTTTCTCACGCGACTCAAAGAAAAAAGAGCCATGGGAGAGACGAACCTTCAGCATGAAGACCTGCTCATCAAGCTGCGGGCCAAGCTTAACGAGGAGAAAGTCAAGCTGTGGGAAAGCTCGTACATNCCGTACATCTTGCCTGATAATGAATTATCACAAAGTTTGCAGGTGCTTACCGTGCTTTGTTTACTTTACCTATAATTAACACGTGTTATGAGCTGTAGAATCAAAAATATGGCATCATTTTATATGAAAATAATGTATTGGATAAATTTTTGAAGATTTTACGATCTTACCCAATGACGAAGCATTTTTCCAAATTATGAAGTTTATTTTTCCTAAAAGCAACGAATAAACTACAAAATCTGACAGAGCGTGTACGTCTTTTGTTTAAATTATTCAACCTCGCAATGATAAAATATTGCCCACTTTATTTTTAAGATTTTAGATTTAAATAGTTGGTCAGAGGGAATAGTCTTTACTTTATACTTTCATGCACCTTTTCGTTTTCACAGGACTTGGCAAAAAAATATGCCACTGAACTTTCCCTGGACGTGGATGTAGTGCTCCAAGCATTGCACGAGCTTCAACTGCACTCAATTGACCGATCAAAGGCCAATGCTGAGTTCAAAGAGACGGGATGTGCTACGTTCAGGGTCAAAGCCACATTGCCTGGAGAGAGGCCTAGAGTGTTGAAAATCCAACGGAAACTGGACGTTCTAGGAAGTGAATTGATTAAAACTGTGGCGGAAGAAGTCGGTGTCACAGAGAGCAGGTCAGATACATAATAATATTGTTATTTTTAACTTTTTAAGCTTTCTTCCCTTTCACCTATTTACTACTTTAATTTCACCTTTTTTATTAATATTTTGCTCATGTTATTTGTCTGTATTTTAAATTATTTTTTTAGCAATTACAAATGCAAATCTTTAGTGCTACAAAATCATTTACGAGTGTGCTTCTTAAATGATTTCAAGTTCCAACTCTATTTTATTTGTTTTAGAATATAATTTTATGCTTGTTTAGCAAATTATTGCACCACCTATAGCCATATTTATTTCAATGTTTGTTTTTTATATTATAGTGTATGTATAATTGTTTTGCTTGCAGAGTAAAGCTAATATTTAATGGCAAAGTAATAAAGCCAGTGCCCAATCTAGAGCAGCAGGGTGTGAAGAATGGGGCCCAGATAATGGCTCTTATTATGGCTGGTACTACACTTTTAGCTTATTTTTATAATATTTATATTTTGTTTAAAAGGATTTTTCGATCACCTTAATTAGTACACCTTTTTACAACATGCAATGCGAATGTTTCAAATCAAAATATTTCTCTACTATATTTTTAAATCATTACATAATTTTAATTTAACTCTTTAATTTTACTTATTAAAATCTTTTCATCTCAATATAACTTTCTAAGATTACTCTACCACTGCTTCAGGATAGTAAACAAAATACTAATAAAGTGTTTCCATCTTCAGAGGCACCTGAAGTGGTGAAGAAAGAAGACACCATGTACATGGAAATGAAAGCAACAAGGGATGATGCTACTTTGCTGACCGAGTATGTTGATGATCTGGCTGATGATGATGATGAATACATAAAGGTGAGGATCCTTTTATAAATAATGAACATACATTTTTTTCATACAAAAATGCTTTTTGGTCTAGCAATTTGAAGTCACAACATTTTTTATCCAACTTTTTGACTATTTATTGATTTCAAAGCAACTAAACCAATGAGGGTTTTCGCGAATGAAAAATCCGCCAAATGGCAATACGTAGACGTGAGGTCCTGCTGCATGATTGGTTATTTTTGACATGATATTGACAGATATGTCAAAATCCACCAATCACGCAGCAGTGTGACCTCACATCCACGTCCCACCATCTAGCGGATCTTTCATTCGAGAAAACACTCATTGGAAAGTATTCGAGTAAAAGTTCCTTATTCTACCAATAGATGGCGCTGTGCGGAGTTAACTCACGGAAGTGTACTTTATAAAGGGAATCATTTTAAATGAAGTTGACTCTTGTTGAACAATATACTGCTGTTTGCAAAGTTTGCTTTTATTTAGGGACATAACCTAGCATTCCCTTGACTAAAACCTGTGGTGTTGTGTCTTAGATTTATTGACGTATAGTATTAAATTCCACATTCACGACTTGTTCTGTTCCTTGATTCTTGACTCCTTCCAAAGTTCACTTTGCTTGTATGTGGCTGTGCAGTTGGAGGACCAATCCGGCAAGACCGTGCACCTGCCAGCGGCTGAGCGGCGCTCGCTGATGGTGGGCTTGGCGCTGCACGAGCGAGGCCGCGCCGCCGCGCGCCAGCGGGACTACTCGCTCGCACTCGTGCTGTTACTGGCGGCCGACGCACAGCTCAAGTGAGTTACAGTATTAAGCCTTAGTGCTTGTTCACGTAGGTACGCGCGGGCGCGGGGGCGCGTGCGGGCGCGGGAAACGTTGCGAGCTCGTGTTCACATTAACCACCAGGCGTTCGCGCGAGTGTGACGTACTATCGTTTCTAGCGACAAGTTCAAACTGGTTGAACTTACCTGACGTCGCGAGTGAAACGCGCGCGCCGCCGCTAGTTAGACATGAACACACACACAAACATCTTCACGCGTTGAAATTACCGCGAGCGCTCCGCGCGCACCAGTCGCTAGCTTGCCCGCTAGTTAGACCGCACCTGCGTTTCGTACGTGAACACTTGGAATCACTACATATGTTTGATATTTCGTCACCGCGCCCGCCACCGCGCCCGCGAGTCAACGTGAACAAGCACTTATATCTACTTGAGCATACTCAAGCAAATAAGCGACTCATTTAACCGTGCCGCTCAAGTGAATACAAGGCTCGAGGGTCGTCGTCTTGCCGGCGCTCGCACAATATCGACACGGCGCTGGCTCACCGTCGCCGTGCCGTCAATGCCAATGTTGCAGGGCTACGCCGAGACAGTTTCGGGTTACTGTCATCGTCGCTCATGCTGGTCGATGTCATCTTGCTTTGCGTGAGAGGGAAACATTCGAAACTTCAGATATCGTATTTCGGAGTAACCCCGTGTAGCTGAGCGGCTGCCAAACGCCGGATCTACGCAGCGCTGGCGCCGCATGATTTAGTTTAAAAGTTGTTGCGAAGCGTTAGTGCTACGCAGGCGCTGGTGAGACGACAACGACCAGGAAACTTAAAATACCTGTAGATAGCTATAAGTATCAGTAAAAGAGATGTTCGCACTTGCCCATTCGCTCATCAATCAGCCTAGTAACAAATTACTAGAAACGACAATGCCTTATTTATTACGTATCTGACCGTCAAGCAACATTTATAGCTCTTGTACTAATGATTTTTTACGAAGATCGATGCGCTATCAATGTGTTTCGTTTGGCAAATCGACGCTAATAGGATATTAACCAGAGACTTGTTTTTTTTTACTTTTGAATTTGTTTTTGAATTTGTCCGCCACAGCGAGTGCAGCTCGTCGATCCTGAAGTCGGTGGACAACTGGGCGGTGCTGCAGCTGGACATCGCCTGGTGCTACCTGTGCCTGCAGAACCTCTCCTCCGCCAACGACGCCGCCGCCCGCCTCGCCAGGTACACATTATTACAGGCATAGCGCATAACCACAGAATAATAATAAGTACTACGTACAGAAGATTTTCTTCGCGAAGGTACTTTAAAAAATGTATGCTTAATGTCGTTAACAATATGGTGTAATTTAGCTTGTCTCAAGAGTCGAGCACCATTTTGTTGACAAACGTCAAGTGATCGGTACTGCGCCGAAGCCATAGGGCTGACTTCGGTAAAATGATGTGTGACATGAGATGCCAAACTGCGGAAAATGGCGGAAGAAATACATGAATAAGCATGAATTATATTTTGTGTGTCTATTATTATTCAGGCAGTTATTAAATACTGCAGTATTTATTACACCACCATTTTTACTTAAAGTTTATTGTCTTTACAATGCAAATGGGTGAAGAATACACATGCGTGCGTCAATACTCGCTTGTGATTGTCTTGTCAATTAGGCACCACAGGAGGGGTACTCGCGCGTGTTTTGTTTTCGATGCAAACGCGCGGAGATGAACAGGCCTGGCATAACTGTGTTACGTATTGGTTCGCAGGCCGCCTTCATACATACATGAGTAGCTATAGATATAGGGTGCGTGTCTGCGTCCAAGATTATACGTCGAGAATAAATCAGTGAGTTGACAGCAGTCTTGTGTTTCACTCGCGTCCTCTTATTATACTTACCAAACTGAAATAGGTCTTGTAGTAGTGAAGCGGTGAAGGAGAAATGTATTAAAGTTTTTTTGTCTTCCGACGTATGCGATATCATGACCATTGACTAGGATTTTTCTAGGGGGACAGCAGTCCAGCTGAATCAACCATATTCTCTATTTTTTCAGGAGGTACTGGTCGATTGTTTTTCCAACCCATATCGCTAGCTATGCAATGAACATGATAGCTGTATTCTGTCACACACAGATTTGGATTCTGTGATGTCACACACACTCCCTCGTCGTCGCAAAGAACACGTTCTCTTGCAACTGAAGTATTGTTTTTCGAAACATATCAATTTGTAGCGTAGGGTCTTCAATAAAAAGAGTGGACTGTATTTTATAGGTGTTTACTGGTAGTTCTTCATGTTATTACAAGAAATCAAGAAATGCAAGGCTGCGCGACGCGCGTTCGCGGAGGGCGAAGTCCAAGTGGCGGCTCCCGAGAGCCGCCCCTCCCGCTGCCCGCGCAGACCGCTGTAGTGCTGTGCCTGGCTTCCGGCGCACGTAGTGATGTGGGCAGCAGGAGGGCGAGTCGAGACGATGCGTAGACAAATTCATTTCTTAATATTTACTTCTAGGGCTGAAGAATCATTCAAGAATAGCTACGGCGAGGATCACCAGCGGCTCATCGCCTTGAAAGGCACCGCAGCCAACGAGCGAGTGCTCATCATGCGGCTGTACCTGCTGCAAGGCATCGTGGCCTACCACCAGAACAAGCGCGCCGAGGCCAAGGCTCTGCTGGAGAAGGCTGAGAACGAGCTGAACTTCTTACGGGTAAGTTATTCATATTAGCTTTAAATTACATAATTGCGAAAGTTACAGTATGATAAATTCTTTTTAAAACTAAAATGAAGTATTGTATTTTTTCCAAAACGTCTATATCGATATCGACAAATGTATAGTTGGCATACGCAGGAACTTTTTACTTACACCGCACGGATGTTGTACCCTCGCGGCGCAAGCGCAGTGTCAATGGCGTCAGGTGTTAATGTGGCGCATATGCCCCCGAATGTTAGACAAATATCGCCTGTGCTTTTCCTATTTTATTTTTCATCCTCTTCCTCGTGCTATGGCCCTAAGACACTTTATCTTGGGTGGTCTGGCCGTTGATTTGAGCTCGATCCTTGTTCCAAATCCCTTGAAAAGATTGTCCACCATGTGGTCTGCAAACTCCTCTGTTGTAAATATCTATGCTATAGTCCGGTCGCCGAGCACGTAGAATTTTGTCCAATTACCCCAAGCTACCCATCCTTATCGCTCGCGCGTAATTATGTTGCTATCGCCTTAGCACACTTACTGCGGGTGCCAGTCGCACAGTCGCGACAGCAATGTAATTACGCGCGAGCGATAAGGACGGGTAGCTAGGGGTCATTGGACAAAATTTTACGTGCTCACAGACCGGGCTTTAGAATTTAATGCCAAGTGTGAAGAAGCTCCAAATCATCTCACTGTTCGCTCCTCAGGTGGACGAAAACGCAGTGACGGCGTTAACAGAGCTGGGCTGGACTTGCGGACAGGCGCGTGCGGGACTGCGCGCCGCGGCCGGCCAGCTGGACCGCGCGCACCACTACCTGGCCGAGCGCCGNCACAAATAAAAATCTAGTGGGGTTACGTCTGGGGAGCGTGGTGGACCTGTGCCCTGGCTTCCAAACATTCGATTTAGGTAACCACGCACTTGGGAGTCCGTAATGTGGTGGTGCTCCGTCATTTTGATAAAACAAGTTTCAGTGATGAGGCAGTGGTATGTCTTCTAACATTTCATCGACTAGATGATACATGTTGTAGTAAAGTCTCATCTCATATGTAGCACTGTTGAGACGGCCCTCGACGTAATAGGGACCCAATAGCTGGTCACCTAGTATACCAGCCCACACGTTAAGGCTAAAGCGATGTTGAAAAGAATCTCGCTTGATAATTGATAACATGTGGGTTGTGGTCTCGGTGGGTCCACCAGTGCTCATTCAACTCGTGTGAACAAACTTTCATCTGACCATAAAATGTTAGCGTCTTCGTGTTCCAGCAACCGAACTGACTAAAGTTAATTCGGACGGATTCTCGAAGTTGACCATAAACTTCGAGAAGGTCCTGGACTGCTTGAAAGTGGAACGGATGTCCACGTTCATATTTCAGTAATCGCCAAACAGTCGTATGGTGAACGCCAAAATGACGGCCGGCGTCTCTGGTACTTACTTAACCAATGTACTTTAACTGCAAAAAAAGGCGGCAACCCTAAGTACAATGCACACATGGGAGGGGTGGACACTGGACTTGTTAGATTCATTTATAGGTCGTTATCACATCACAATGAAGAGCCGCAAGTGGACCATGCGTTTGTTATAAATTCATGGGTTATGTTCAAGAAGGTAAAAAAGATAAAAGGAAATGTCAAACTGAATTTGGGTACATTCAGACTAGAACTTGCTGAAACCCTCTGTAAATTGGGTCTACCTGCAAATGGCGCTAATAGTGTTCGGCTTAGTGGCAGCACCATACAAGGAGAACTTGCACTGAAGAAGTTCCGAGGACCAGCTCAACCAATCCCATCGAAAGATGTCGGGTTAGATCAAACATCTCATTGGGCGTTTGGCTGGATAAGCAGCAGAGGTGCTAATTCCCAAAATGTTCAGGGCTTACTTTCAAAATGTGCCAAAAATGTTGTGTATCATCATGTGATACAGTTAAAGTCCGAGGGTGCTACTATCATTGGACCCGCATCATGTGGAAAAAAGCAAAACGGATTGGATGCTCTAAAACCATGTCGGATAGAAGGATTGTTGCTATGACCGCGGTTTTACCGTTCATTCCAGGAGATACAGTTTTACAAGAATCAAATGACAATTTTAAGATTGACAAGTTTCTCAAATACGTAGAAAATTATTGGCTTAAAGTCCATACCAATGACATATTTTGCATTTTTGGTACAACGTCATCGTACAACTAATTCTTTAGAAGGTTTTCATTCAAAACTTAACAAAGTAATAAACAAAAATTCGGTAACAATAATGCGTTTACTAAACGTTTTGCACAGTATATTACTGCAACCTTCGAATAGAAAACTATAACTACAATATGCATGTGCAAATGCAGTTACCTACTTAATGGGGAAATAACTGTAGACCGAGCTATTGCTAAAGTTATGAAGTAAATGGGTATGTCTTCGGGATGATTAGTGTTGTGTAATATTGTAAATTAATTGTAAGTCTTAAACCATAAGTATCTATACATATAGAACTGCAACAGCATCAACACAAACCTTAGTGGTGTCCTGAATGCTGTCTAAACAATTATTACCTATTTTATATTTATTCTGGGTTAATTTTATTGAAATTTAGTTTGTCACCTTCAGACGCAGAGGTCCCGGGTTCGATTCCCAGTGGGGGCAGATTTTTCTGTTCGGTTTGGTTGGTGGTAGGGCTTGTTCTAAGTCCGCCTGGCTAACTACCACCATCTTACCTAAGTCTGTCGCCATAAAAACAATGTTAACAGCATTATTGTGTTCCGGCAGTTAGAGGTAAGATAGCCAGTTCCTCCGTGGTTGAGGATTCCGGGTGAAACTCGCTTCCACCTTGGGCCTGATCGTCACTTACCATCAGGTGAGATCGTGAGTAAGTTACAGGCCACGCCCGCGCGTGTAACCCGCCGTATCATAAAAGTCGACCAAAGCGTTTCGACTCATTGAATGAAATAGCAAACCATTTTAATATAAATGTATCAGAAATAGAAAAATTAAAAACTTGACAAGTCAATATTATAGAGAGAGAAAAAAAGTGACTGACTCAAAAAGTCGGGTAGCGGTACAGATTGTGTATATCAGAGCAAGCGGTTTGCATATAAATCATTTAGTTTTTTGCAAAACAAGAATACTTCTACTGCCACGATCGATTCTGAAGTAAAAATGCATTTATTATTTATATCCAAAATGTTTTATTGTACAGAACAGAACAATTTTGTAGTGATCGGTGTATGAGTGTGATAAATTCTACGTGCCCGGTGAATTTTGTCGTCGAAAAGTAATTTCATGTGCGCGCCGTAGTAGCATCAAAAATGGCGTCTCAACAATCTCAAGAAAAGCCCAAGAAAATATCGAGTATGAGTGGTCCGCAGCCCATGCTCATGTCTGGAAATCTGTCAATGCAGTGGAAAAAATGGGTTCAATTCAAATCATATCTACGTGCGTCGGTTATGAGTGAAGAGTCTGATGATCAAAAAGTCGCCCTATTTCTTCACACCATTGGGGAAAAAGGTGTAGACATATTCAACACGTTCGGGAGGAACGATGAAAGCATCAAATACGACGAACTGATTGAAATGTTTCAACAGTACTTTGCGCTAAAAGCAAATGTTACCCATGAATATCACAACTTTAGTTTTGTACAACGGTCAGTCAAATCAGTCACGTCAGTCAAGATCAAAGTCACAAAATACAGCAGTCTCGGAATGACAGTCAACAGTCAAGAAAGGTGTGTTCCAGATGCGGCCAAGTTCATCGTCAAAAGTGTCCGGCATTGGGTGTGAAATGTAGAAAATGCGATAAAGTGGGTCGCTTTTGTTGTCTGTTGTCGTTCAGTTAAGTCAAAGTCAATAAAGTATGTCGAGTCAGATGATAATACAGAACAGGTACAGTCAAATGAAATGTTTATAGGTCATATTCAGTCATGCAAGTCATCATCAAGTGAATGGTCAATTGATTTAACTATAAATAATTCTCAAATAAATTGTATTATTGATACAGGCAGTGATGTCAATATTATGTCTAAAGATGTCTATGATTCACTTAATATTAAGAGTGTACTGTCTGAAACTAATATCAAAATTGTTAGTAGTAAATCAAAATATGATGTGGCAACATTTTATTGTCTATGAAAACTTCTATCCATGTCCGGTGTCTTTGATTGAAAAAAATATTCCATTTTGTCAAGCAAGGAAAATAGTTTCATTTTAGGTTATGGGCCCAGTCCCGTATTCTCTGCGGCAGTTAGTTTTTACTGTGATATTGTTTTCTGTGTGGACTTAAGATTACAATCACGTATAAGTTCGAGAACAATATAAAAATACCAAAGGACTTAGTGTGTCGTACGTAGTTTCGCGGATTCGAACATGGCGGCAGGTCAGAACTACATGTTGAACGTGCCGAAACTCAAAGGCCGTGAAAACTACAGTGAATGGTGTTTTGCAGTAGAAAACATCCTAGTGTTGGAGGGCATGCTAAAGTGCGCCTAAAGCCGTTTGACCTTAAAAATCGCCGGCCAGGGCACATCTCCCCGGCTTCATTTCGACAAACCAACTTGAAAAATACGGCCGCGTACCTGCTTATCGCCGCCGCGATTCCATTTCAAATCATTTATAATATGTAGTGCAAATGCACTAAATACAGACCATAAAGTACAATAAAATTAGTAGTCGTTTCATAAATAAGTACGATAAAACTGTGTAGTGAATACATCCCCGATAGGGTAAGTGATGAACAAGTATTTTTTCTTTCGCTTTAGTTCTAAGATATTGTAACTACAAGTTGCGAATAGTTAGTGCCTAGTGTACCTACTCATTTAATTCTTCCTGTAGTGCCTATCTATCCAGCTTTGTTGAAAACCTAATTATGTCGTAAATTCCTTTAGCAGAGATCAGTTAGTAATTATTCGCTATTGGCGTAATTATTCATACAAATTGTTAATTTAAAGCATTTGGCGTACCTAATAATAAATCATAACATTATTTACTATATTTTAATTATGCTGTGTTTGTCAACTCCGATCTGATTGCATTCATCGCCACTTCGCCTGCTATCCTACTTACTTAGGCTCGACTTTCTTGGCTTGGTTTGACGATGATTGCAGTCTCCGGATGTTGAGACCGGAAGTGGCTTAAGCTGGAATGTTCATTCCCAGGGATCGAAATTCGGGACTAACGCGGAGGCAAACGCGTACCATCTGCGGCTCAAGATCCAAGGCGCCTCCAGCTGACAGCGACTACGTCCAGCACCTACGGCCACCATCTACCTTCGGCCGCCCTCGCCAGGGAAGTCACGGACCGCGAAAGCATACCCACAGTCGGGCATTCGAACCCCGCCCTCATTTGTAACAAAAATATCCGAACTCCAAGTCTTACAAAATAAAATCATTAAATTATTATTTCATTATCCGTACCTCACATCCACTTCCAAGATTTATAGCGAAANTTGTATATATTGTATTATACTGCTTGCTAAATGCTTTTTTTTTTGGATTGTATCTTGATATGCTATTTGTGAAAACTATGTAAGGCATTTTTGATCTTAACCGCCTCATCTATTAATAATGCATATATGCTGTTTGTTTTCCATAAAATAAATATAAATAAATAATAATAAATAAATAAATAAATAAACTTTATCAAGAGATGAGTACCATGACTGTGATAGTACTAAATGTATGGAAGACGGAAACATTGAATTTTAGGATAGATCCAGTTTATTCTGTAACTTGATATTGACACCGTTAGATAGAGCTCGTGAAGCACTTTTAGGATCAGTAACCAGTTTTACGATATCTTGTGTAGTTTCTAAAATTATATAACTTTACCAAATGTATGGAAGCTGGAAACATTGAATTTTCGGATAGTTCCAATTTATTCTGAATCCTGTTATTAGCACCGTTTGAAAGCGCTCGTGAAGCACTTTCAGGATCAGTAATCAGTTTTACGATATTTTGTATAGTTTAGAAATAATCGGGTGAGATCACTTATCGTTTCCACCCTGTATATTGCAACAGAGATTCTTTCAATTTAAATTTGAAAGAGGTACAGAAATGGCAGTTTTCCTTTCTAAAATACAGGAGATGCAAAACACATTGAAACAGATGGGAGAGCCAGTATCTGATAAGTTCACCATTACAAAAATCTTGATGTCGCTGCCTGACGAGTACAAACACTTCCTTTCGGCGTGGGAGTCAGCCCCTGAAGAAAAACAAACAGTAGACAATCTGGTTGCTCGGTTATTAATAGAGGAAGAAAGAATAAATGAGAAAAATGAAGAAGTTACTACATCTAATTCGTCGGCATTCCTGGTTAAATCTAAGAAGAACGTGAAGTGTTACAAGTGTAACAAACTTGGACATTACAAAAGTGAATGTAGGGTGAACAATAACAGTGAAGGGAACTCGAATAATAACAATAACAAGTGTTTCTATTGTGGTAAAATGGGACATAAAAAAGCGCAGTGTTGGTTTAAGAAAAACAGTGACAATAAGAAAAGTAATGCGTTTGTAGTGTCAGCTTCAGGACATTATCAGAAATCAGAATGGCTAGTGGACTACGGAGCCAGTGAACACATGTGCTGTGACCGCGCTTTGTTTACATCTCTGACAAGCGCTACTCAAAAATCAGTGATACTAGGAAATGGTGACTCAGTGTGTTAGGATGTGGACTAGTGGCTGTACAAGTTCATAACGGGAAAGAATGGATTGATACCACCATGGACAATGTGTTATACGTTCCGGACCGCAAAGAGATTGGTTTTAACCAATCTCTTTGCGGTAAATTGTGCGTCTGACAAAGGTTATGTCATGGTGACAGATGACAGATCGTGTAGGTTCATCAAAAACAACAATGTTTGTGCGTTATAAATAACTTGAAAAAATCGAACTGCCTAAGGCGGGAATTGAACCCACGACCTTCCGCTTGCCGGGCGACTTTCAAGTTATTTATAATTTTCAAATTAGTTTGAGATGCGACTCTAAACGCTAAAAATTTAATAATAATGTTTGTGCGATTGCTAAACGACATGGGAACTCATATTACATGGTTTTTCGCTGCAAAAACCAAGTGGCTAGTGTTGCAAAAGCAGTGGACAATAATCTCTATCAGTGGCACGAAAGGTTAGCGCATCAAAACTTCGAACATGTGAAAAAGTTACTTACGAAAAACGACATCAATGTGAACACAACTTCGTTGTCCAAGTGCGAAGGTTGTCTTCAAGGGAAGATACATAGATTATCGTTCCATAACAGCGAGAGTGTCAGCACTAGAACCTGTGAACTGATCCATGCGGATACATGTNCTGACGGAGCTGGGCTGGACTTGCGGACAGGCGCGTGCGGGACTGCGCGCCGCGGCCGGCCAGCTGGACCGCGCGCACCACTACCTGGCCGAGCGCCGCGCGCAGCGGGAGCTGGAGCGCGAGCAGCACCGCCGCGACCGGTGAGCGAGGCTAGGCTCCTCCCCAGCGCCGACGCAGCTGGGCTGGACTGCGGGCAGGCGGCCGGCAGCTGGACCGACTGAGCGAAGCTAAAGCCTGGTCCGTGAGCACGTAGAATCTCGTCCAATGACCCCAAGCTACCCATCCTTATCGCTCGCGCGTAATTATATTGCTGTCGCGACTGTGCGACGCGCGCCCGCAGTGAATGTGCGAGCGCGACAGCAACATAATTACGTGCGAACGACAAGGATGGGCAGCTTGAGGGATTCTACGTGCTCACAGACCAGGCTTTAGGCTCCTCAACAGCCAATCATCATCACCAAAAAATAAGGGACTATACCCACCTCTCGTTCCCACCGCTGCAACTCCTGTGTAGCCAGGATCTACAGCTTGACCGCCGATAGCAACCCAACCAGTGAAAGTCAAGTTGACCATCTCAAAGATGATGTTCCCACCGCTGTAACTCCTGTGTAGCCTGAATCATTCACCACCATCAACAGCCCTTAACAGTCCACTGCTGAACTATAAGACTCCTCCACTATAGTGGAGGGTATTGCCATAATCCCCACGCTTGGCAGGCAGGTTGGAAATCGCAGTTTAAAAGATTGATGTTTTTCAGAAAACTGCTGCCTGTTTGATGTGAAGTCCCTAAGTCGCCTCTTCCGACTCTCGCGGGAAGAGTAGGGGTTGGTGACAAATGTATTCTACTCTGCCACCACACGGCTTCTTACCTATCCCCAATAAAAATCCACCCAACAAATCGTCATCATCAGGTCATGCAGTGGAGACACCTCTTTTAAGTCAGCGACGAGCGCGACGCGGCAAGCGCTACGACCACTTGATCGCGCTTGCAATCAATGACATCTCTTGCTTTCAGCCTACATGCCTATGCGACGAGATGCGACGTTGTAATTTAACAGAGAAAAATGGATGATTTGGTTTATTGACTTCTCCACTTGGGGTAGCATTAGCTATTATACTAACCAAAGTGAAAAAGTGACTTCTTGTCTTGGCGGGAATCTGAAGCGTCATGTTAGCGATTTTGTTTTATTTCCTCAAATTCGTGTGTGGGCGACTATTAATGTGTAATAATGGTGGATTATTAACCATTGAGTGTTCGTGAACGTGCATGGGTGTGGGCAAGTGAAGCAAAACAGTGCATCGTGATTCTTCTGGTTCTCTCAAGTTGTCAGTAAAGCACCACAACTTTACTGAGACTCAAAGGGTGTGAAGGGGTATCATCTATCATCCTTCATTATATCATTACTTGATCTCATTTTGTAACTCGTATCATTTATATACTTGAAAATGGCACAAATCAAGTCAACCTCGACGTGTATTGCCAACATCATCAAAAATGAAGATGAAGTGATAAAGTCTATTAAATCAGCAATAAATAACCTATTGACCCGTAGGCAGCGGCGCGCTCTCGGCCTCTGCATGGACGGGTCTGAAGTGCGACAACAGCTCGTGGACGCGCTCGTGGGCATGGGCTACTCGCGGCGGCTGGCGGCGCACGCGCTGCGCAACTCCAACAACCACGTCGCCGAGGCCGTGCGCCTCATCCAGGAGCAGCCCGAGCTGGTCAGTAGTATCTCTCACACATACACAATAGGGATGTTTAGGATATTATGTAGTTTCGATTATGGATACGGTTACGGATATTTTTTTATTTCGGATATCCGAAAGTTTCGGTTACGGATATTGTGCTTTAGAATACAATTTGCAAATAAAAAATGTCCAATACGGTTCATTTATGGCCGCACACTTTACATCGAATAAAAAGTAATAAAAAAAAAATTGATACTAAAGCCCGGTCCGTAAGCACGTAGAATTTTGTCCAATGACCCCTAGCTACCCATCCTTATCGCTCGCGCGTAATTATATTGCTGTCGCGACTGTGCGACTGACACCCGCAGTGAGTGTGCGAGCGCGACAGCAACATAATTACGTGCGAGCGACAAGGATGGGCAGCTTTTGGGGTCATTGGACGGGATTCTACGTGCTCATGGACCAGGCTTTACCACTCTACATAATATGATTTTATTCAGTAATCAATTTTTCGATATCTTGTATAGTTTAGAAATAATCGAGTAAGATCACTTAACGTTTCCACCCTGTATACTAGCATAAGCACCCAAACCCGTCCCCCGGACACAACCTAAGCCGAGGTCCGAGCCTACCGTGGCGCCCTCAGGCCGCGTCCGTAGTCCCCTCGATCGGGCCCACTAGAGTGAGCCCGCCGTAAGCTGAACTTTGGTCCAATACCGCGGTAGGCAGGCGTACCGACGATCGCCAAACGGCTAGAGTACCTTTTGTACTCGCCACTCTGCCCGGTGAAGCTGGAAAAGCTCTTAAAGCTACAAGCGCGCGTCCCTTAAAAATATCGCATTAGCAATGCACTCGCAGGTGCATATGCGTGTGCATGTACAACCCGGTCGTGTTAACTGTGCACCTCATTGGAATGCGACTCCTTACCTCCGACATCATAGACATCTAAAATCGATATAATTGTTTAGATTTGAAATAATTGTGTCCTGTTTACAGCTTCAAGACAGTGATCTGTCATCGGAGGAGACAGAGCCATCCAGCTCAGATGATTCATTGGTGGTGCCTGACGAGAAACTGGTCGAAGATGTAAGTGTTAAAAATCTTATTTTAGCTCAATAAAACTACTGGAATGGGTAAAGATTTGGAAGGCGATTGCTTACAAACAATGACACAATAAGTGAACGAAATACGTCACCGACACTACGAGAGATTATTTGATTGAAAGGCTTTTTGGTGTAAAATAAAATTATATTGAAAAAATAAAATCAAGTTACATTTTAGTCCAAAGTAAAAGAGTCAAGAGAAAAGAAAAAAGTGACAGTCGATAAAAAAACACATAAAAGAAAAATAAGTTTCTCGCCAGCCAGGCGAGCGGCCAAGGAGTTTGGTCATATGCGACCTCTACAATAACAATTTCACTAGGCCGTCATTAGGCAGACCTGTACAATAAGAGAAGCTTGTAATATTTCAATAATCGCAACATAATCTTTATTGCCTTAACATAAAGTTTAAAGTCTTACTGCTCGACGACTTTCCATGTTTATCGTTTCAGTTGGTGGCGATGGGCTACGACGCGGATAAAGCGAAGCTAGCGCTGCGCGTGGCCAAGAACCAAGCCAGCTTCGCGGTGGAACTGTTGGTGGCGGGAGCTAATTTCATGCAAGGTAAGCTAAAGCCCGGTCTGTGAGCACGTAGAATTTTGTCCAATGACCCCAAGCTAACCATCCTTATCGCTCGCGCGTAATTATGTTGCTGTTGCGCTCGCACACTCACTGCGGGCGCCCGTCGCACAGTCGCGACATTGGACAAAATTCTACGTGCTCACAGACCAGACTATAGAGAGGCCAAAATACTCGTACGAATAGAAAGTTCCATAATCTACTAATAGATGGCGCTATGCGGAGTTAACTCGCGCAATTCACGGCGCCCCTTGACAAGTTAATTTTAAAGTTCTATTTTGTGTTTTGTAGAAGATCCAGCTAACCCTTCTACCAGCTCGGGAGCTGCCTCAAAAAAGAGACAGAAGAGGCGCATGAAGGAGAAAAAGTACGTACATGTTTATAACATTTTACCACTAGATTTTCATTCAGTTAAGTATCCACGTATATGCTACTACTTTTAACTGGCAACGAGTGGTGACTAGAGTTGCCACGAATAGTGATTTGGCCGAATACCGAATACCGAATATTCGGCAACTCTGTCGGCCGAAGCGCCGAATATTCGGCGGCCGAATATTCGGCACAAAATACATGCTAGTCGAGTGCGTAAATAATAATACGACAGGTTGCGACCTGTCTCCATCGCGCGCGGGCGGTATGAGGCTATTTGACTGTTTCATTCAATTGCAAGTAAATCACGTCACGGCACACATTGTCAGATTAATATAAATTATAAATTTAAAAAACGTTACGATTTTGCTGAAAAGTTTGTTCGTTAGTGCTTTTTCAATTGTTTGTTCATTAAAAAATGTCACCAATTAATAAACAATCGGCCATCATATGGGAATATTATGAGATTTGTAGTGAAAATAATAAACTGGCCAATTGTTTGCTGTGTAGTAGCTCTGAAACTAAGTTGTGATGATAATGAGTCTAGTAATACCGATGACGTTTCTTCTCCACGTCGTAAGAGAAGAAACTTGAACGAAAATGATAAGTCATTTGAAATACACGACAGTTTCTGGAACTGCTTTGAGGAAGTCGCTAAAGATAATATGCGAAATAGTAATGATGAGGAGAACGTGGAGAAGAATACTGTGGCAAATGAGATGGATTTTTATTTGAAATCAAATCGACTAGATCGGAAAGCTGATTCTTACAAGTGGTGGTCAGCTATGAAAAACAATACCCAAACCTCTCGAAATTAGCTAAAGTTTATCTTTCTTCTCCCGGGAGTAGCGTGTATAGTGAGAGGTTGTTTTCTGAAGCTGGTATCATTTATGATGAAAAGCGTAATCGTTTGCTACCGTCAAATGCTGAAAAGCTTGTTTTTATCCATCACAACTTACCTACCGTTGATTAATTTTACTTATTAAAGTATTGTAATTTGATAATAAAGACAAATCTTGATTAATATGATGTGTCTTTTTTTCCATGATTTGGTATTCGGTATTCGGCCGAATAGTACCTATTATTCGGCCGAATACCGAATACCAAACAAAGTGGCCGAATAGGCCGAATACCGAATAGTAGCCGAATATTCGTGGCATGTCTAGTGGTGACTGCGTTTTTATTTTCGTCATTTATTCTTAACACTGCTATGTGTAACACTGAAGCCCAAAAGATAAGAAAAGCCTATTAAAGGTGCCAAATTTTGGTCAAAATCGAATACGTTTTTTTATTTGACCAATAAAATATCAATGTTTGTATGCTGTCGCAGGAAGAAGGAACGTGAGCAGGCGTGGAAGCGTCTGTCATCGGCGCTGCGGGCTGACGAAGAGGCGCACCTCGACACCTCCCTGGCGGAGGAGGAGGAGTTCCTGGCGCAGTACAAGTCACTGCTGTAAGAGAGAGGTACGTTTAAAGTGCCAGTCACTGGCGGCACTCACTTCTGTGCCGGTCACTGGCGGCACTCACTTCTGTGCCGGTCACTGGCGGCACTCACTTCTGTGCCAGGCACTAGCGGCACTCACTTCTGTGCCAGTCACTGGCGGCACTCACTTCTGTGCCAGTCACTGGCATCATTCATTTTTTCGCCAGTCACTTCTGTACTGACGCAAGATTTTTCCGTGTATACCACAAGCTACAATCACTTGCGTATCAAATATGTAGTTGCATCAGTCACTTTAGTCGTTCATAGTCGCCAGATTACTGCACTGCCGGCAGTCATTTTAGCGCCGGCGCCAGCGATATGATTTCTGCGCTAATTTTCGTCCACCTAAATCATTCACAGTCATATGTATATTATTTAACCGCCCGGTCAATAATTCCCAGTTTTCATTGCAGTAGCGTGCGTCGTGCCCGTGCGTTTCGTATCCATTACGTTTAACGTCGCGTACGCGAAATTAGACTTATTTATTTTTCTTTGTACATATCACCAGTACTACTCAAGCTCAAGGGTGACGTGACCTCGCGTTATCGTACTATTGAATTTTAATTTAAATCAAAAATTACCATTTACAAATTGCTTTAGTTAAAATATCTCTTAATAGTAAAAACAAATATCCATAACAAATGAGCAACTCCTTATGTTGCAGGATTCTAAGGACTGCCCTTACCACGAGGTGAGCTGGTCGCTTAGTGCGTCCAACCATTCGAGGAGGAAATAAACTTCCCGGGAACCAGTGGTAACTTACTATGTGTGTGTAATACCGGGTTACTGGTATTTTGACTTAATAAGAAATATCACTAACCCTGTATTTTAGTGTTTTATACTCGTTGTAGGACTACAAAAGCATAATGTATCCCAAAGTCAAAGTAACTTTATAATTTAAGACCGCATTTACTCTATTTAAACACTACTGGAATATACATATTACTCGAACAGTTTTATGGTTATATTACATGTACTATATTGATATCCCGAAGTACATAACATTTATATATGATTAGTATTTACGAATTTATATATCTGGATTGACTCTACATGAATTCAAACAACATGAGGTCCAACTCAACAGCAAAACCGTTTGTCAGGTGGACCGTTTGATTTCCTATTTTATACCCATTAAATAAAATTGATCAAATACACACTCATAGTCAATATAACATAATATAGTATCTTGATTCCTACTACGTACTTATTTTTTGACGTTTATATTTATAGCAGTGCTATTTTGTGCCATGACTTGTTTTTTCAGTAAGATTTATTAAGAAAAAACATTTTCTACTACTTATCTGTATCGTATTATTTATATACTACGTATATATCATAAAGTAGAATATTCACGTATATAATAATAATAATTGTACTAGTAAGTATAAAAAAGCTCATCCGATGGGTCCTTCCGATTGTATGAATGTTTAAAACAATAAAATTATGTATACGATATGTAATTAGTGTTTTATTTATTAATTTATAATTTTAAGTGCATGGTAGTTGTAAAAATAAGAATACCATCATATTCACATATAACTTCATCACATAATTAAACATTATTAACTCATTAATGTCATTATCTAAATTCCACATAGTACTATACACGATTAAAATGATATTGTTTTCATTAAATTATATCTATAAACAATAATTTTCGGAGATATTTATTAGATAAATTCTGTTCGATTACAAAAGAAAATATTGGTAAAATAAAAAAACAAGAACAATAAAACAATATTCATTATCGAGACATACAATATTAATAAATTCGAAATCTGTTATGGCAAAAATACTTTTTAGTTATCTAACAACATCGCTTAAAAATAGACATGCGCTTGCGTGCGCAAATAACTGTAATTTTGGTGTTAATTTCTTCCACGAGTGCTTTCCGAAGATAGTTCCTAAAATCCACCACAAGATGGCGCAGAATTCATCTGCCTACATATTGACAATAAACTCCATGAACATGACGTCATTCTTGACGTAGTCAAACTTGTCGAGGCTGGTGTGCGGGATAAAGATGAACTGCCTTTTGAGCTGAAGCACGGACTTGTCCAGGGCCTCCGTGGAACCCGCCCGGGTTTGGTTCTGGTCTTCAGTTGAGTCGTAGTCGTGCCTCTTGGAGGACGACTTGCGCCGTAGCTGCAGGGATTTTACGATGTCCATTGCCTAAGAAATATAAAGGAGAAGTTATTTTTTTTATTTTTATTTTTTGATAGAACTAGTCCAAGACTTGGACCTAGGCTGTCTCGGATGTCTGCTCTATCGGATGTCTACTTGTAGTGCGCTCTAGGAAATAATTACGAGGCATATAACACGTCAAGAAAATCACCGGCATCTTACTTAGAAAACACTTAGCCACCAGTCGTTTTTGTTGGGGGACTTCATCATCAGGTGATTTAGTCTCCACTGCAAGAGAATTCACCTTTTCTACCAATTTACCATTTCAATTGGTTTGGGTGACTTATCCTTTTTTTGCGCAGTAAAATACTTTGCGTATACTCCCCGCCCCGGGGAAGGGCACGGGTTATGTGGGACTCCCTAGTAGTCGGTTGGCAGCAATAGCGGCTGTGAACTGACAAGTATACCCACTAAAAACCTGCGGTGCACCCTCTGCGTTTTACTGGTACGACGTGGGGTCCTACCGTTTTAGATCACGCCGTACCAACGCATGGCCCAGCCTTTGCCGGGCCTCCCGCGCTAGAGAGGGGGTCTACCGGTACCTTGGTCCCTGGTAGATCCCCCAGACATGGTGGAACCGTGCAATGTGGGTGATGGGCCCCCCGGCCTAACACCCACTGGTCTCACCTAGGGAGGGGGAAGGAGGCGAGCGAATTTCCTTCTTTCTCCCGGCCATCTGCGCCGGATTGGGGGACTTACCTGGCTCCTGTTAGCGGGCTGGTCCTTGAGCACGATGTTGACGCCGAAGTCGCAGGGCCACTCCAGCAGCGCGTCGTAGGGCCCGCCCACCAGCCGCACCGTGCACGTGATGTGCCGCCCCTTCCACTTGCCGATGCCGTTCAGGTTCACCTCGGCCTGAGGGATAGTTGTGATGATAAATATCTGGCAGAGACTTGACGCCAAGAGAGTAACGAAGCAATTGTCATGACTACAAATGTCGACCAACATAAAGCTTATGTGACGGTCTGATCGAAGACAATCTCTGGAAGCAACTGTTAAAGGAAAATCTTCGGTGATCTCTCGCTGCGGTCGTTCCCTATAGACTTAGGAAAATGGGACCAAGAATGCGGGCTCTATGATGATCTCCCGCACCTCGAATGCGGGCCAGAACTACCAATAAAAGCCTTCAAAAAAGTATTTAAAGACCTACGGAAACAAAAGCGCTGTCCTAGTGCAGGAAACCTCAATGAACAGCTGTATGTTTCAGAAAAGAATGTACCTTCAAAGTGTATCCGTATTTGCTGGTGCGGAATAGAGGGCTGCTGAGGACCGTGTCGTTGTCTTTTGCTTCTTTCATCCGAGCTGAGAAGTTGTCTATTCTCCAAATGAGGTGACCTAGAACCAAAAGTTGTTTTAGTAGTCTTTCTGTCTCCAGACATGATATGCAGTCAGTGCGACTCCTCCCTATGATCTATCCTATTTAGTAATCTGATATTGAACATTCCCGTTGCTAGTCTCACCATTATGGAACGGATCCTTAATTGAAGTCATTCAGGGCAATCTTATTTTAGAGCACTTGATGAAAGGTCGCGAGATCTACGAGATATGATTCACAGGTAAATAGAAACCCTTATTTTATTAACTTATTTTTTATCAACGGTTGTCATTATGATCTTCAAAGGGTCGACTAAGCTACTAACCATTCTCGCTGCCAGTCTCACTGTTCTCAAAGTTGACCCTGGCCTGAAAGTCGGCCAACTCGGTCCGGACCTTGTGGTAGGACTTGGTGAGCGCGCGCAGGTCCCGCGAGATGACGTCCATCCGGCTGGCGTGCTCGGCGGCTTGCGCACGCGCGTCCGCGGTCGACACTTCCAAGATGGACAGCCGGTCGATAGCCTGGGGATGGAAGATTAATATGTTCAGTTAGCTAGAAAGATCTGGCTATTGAATGTCAAAAAAAAGAAAGAAATCAAATATTGGACACGCAAACATACCAAAAAAAACACACAATGCAGACAGTAAAAGGTACTTTCGTGCCGAAACAACACTCCCGCTCAATAAAATTTATTATACTGATTTTCAGCAGAAAAAACAGCAACTCGTTAAATCAATTTATGACGTTAACTGACTATAAAATATTAAGACTGTTTTTCTAGGTAAATTACCGATTGTAAGCATGTTCTAGCTATTTACATCGGTACGTCCAAGAAGATAATACATGCAACTTGATCTTATGATAAAGATAATACAAACGGGAGAGATAACTGAGAAAAATGAGTGATCTGCAATAAAATTCCACTGACCGGTTCATTCGCTGCGTTCTGCAGCTGCATCCTGACAGCGGACAGCTGCGCGAGCTGCTGCGAAGACCGTCTTGCCTCCATGAGCTCGGCCTCCAGTGCGGCCCTGTTCTCGGCGTTCCGCTCGCGCTCCTCCTCCACAGTCCTCTTTATGTACTCGATTACTTCCTCTGGGAAAATAGGACAGTCATTTTTCATTACTTGAACTTAGTTTGTACTCTGGAAGTTGAAATACTTCCAAGACAGCTTTTTGTTTAACAGAAGCTCAAGGAAGAAGAATAGTGAAGTGACGTGTTTAGTGCCACCCTGTCACTTTTGCGATATCCATTGGCCTGACTCAGCTTAATGTGACGAGCTATCTTCGTCACTATAGTGACCCATTTTTATTCTAACAGATCTCGTTTAGATAGGATTGATAACAATCAAGCTGGAGATAGTAATGTCAGGTACATTATGGTTGATAGCTGACGGCTCTGTGACATGTAGAGTATGCGACAGACCAAAAGAAGTCGTAGCCTTTACCACAACTCCTGTAAATCCAGGATTTACTGGTACCGGTGACGGTGATGATACCTCGACTTACCGAGGTTGTTGACGGCGCGGATCTTGTTGTCGTGCTGCGTCAGCGCCTGCTCCAGCAGCTCGCGCTCGTGCTGCTCGTGCACCAGGCTGCTGACCGCACTCTCCAGCCGCATCACTGTGGACAGCTGTTGGCTTTGCAGCTCCTGGAGTATGAGACAGACCAGTGGGGGTCATTATTTCACTGATGCTTCTTCTTCTTGTCGTATCGACAACAAACCTACTGTGTCAGCCCAAAACTCTCTAAAGAGTGGTGAGGCTTAAGATGACTTTCAAATCAGCTTTACATAATTGAGTTGCGCAGATTAACAAATATTTATAATTCATTGTGGAATCAGAAGCCAAAGCAGCAAAACTGAAAAGGAAATGGGCGGGGCAAGTGTCGGAGGTATTACGCTGAGTAATAGGTGGATAACGTCGAGTGGTCGAGTGACTCAGAGGTCGCTAAGCGACGACGACAATAATCAGAAGATCATCTCAAAGACAAAGAATGCTTAAACATCGCAATTCCATCTGATGCCGTCAGAAACTCAATACAGAAAAGTCAAAGGCGAAAACCGATGAACAGTACCTGCTTATGACTATTCTACTTGGAGAGGTTGTTCTGCCTCCACGAAAAGTATCTTGGCAGATGTACACTATGCGGCAAATTGTCCAAATCGAAGCGCTAGCCCGCACACCGAAGTATGGGTGACGCGCGCGAGAAGAGAGGAGAAAGTAACCGAGATGGTGTGCTACGTCTTGACCAATTTCCCACATAGTGTACATCTCAATCTTCTGACCATCTGGGTGATTAGATTCTTCTGTGGACAAAACACAGGTATAGTACCTGCAGAGCAAGCTGCACGTTGGCCAGGTCGTGCTTGAACTGCGCCGCCCAGTTGGCCGCGCGCTCTGCCTCGTCGTCGACCGCGGCGCGCAGCGAAACCAGTGTCGACAGGAAATGCTGGCTCTTCTCCTCCACCAGGATCAGCTTCGAGCGCAGGTTGTCGATTTCAGTGGACTGCACGTCTCGTCTGGATGATTCTTCTGTGAGGACCATTCTGGGGATGGAGAATTTACGTTAAAAATGGCTAATGAAAACGCAGAAGTAAAACACGATAAAACTGTCTAGCTAGATCTGTACCTACAGGCAGGATGAGCTACCATTACCTTATGACAAAGTTCTAACATTTCACTAATGTAAACTGACGATCATCATCATGTGTAAACTAAATGTTTGCTAGACTTGGAATTTGAAAAATGGAGGAATCAAAGCAACCATTTATTGACCAGGTCACTAAGACAAAAAATATTTTTTCACCCGTAATCTGTTTATGTAAAACATTGTTTTTATGTGTACCACTTTGTACATACAAGCGGTTTCTTTGATACTGTTATTCCTAATTACAGTGCTCGCAAAAACGTACGTAAATAAATTACGTTTGAGTGCTGATAATAATAAAAATACATCGGCGAGACAAACCAAGAAATATGTTACTCACTTAATGTTGCTGACTTCCTTCTCCAAATAAGTGACACAGTCGTCGAGAGGCGACTGCCTCGGAGACCAGGTGTGGTTCGATACTGGGGGCGGCGGTACAGGGTCAGTCTGTCGCGCGTGTGTAGGGGAGGTGGATGATCGAGACTGAAACACGAAGTTATTATGCACTTTATTTCTAGTATATATCTTTTATTTTTAGCAGCATAGGACGTCCACCCACAAGGTGGACCGACGACCTCACAAAGGTAGCAAGAAAGCGCTGGATGCAGGCCGCCACCAACCGGCCATTGTGAAAATCATTGGAGGAGGCCTATGTTCAGCTGTGGAATGAATGAAATGATGATGATCTTTTATTTTTACTCGCATCCGTAAGAATTGTGGCTCTGTGTTGCTCTTCTTTTTGTTTTTGTGTGGGGTATTATAACAGCCCAGTAATAATGTCCATCTTCCGTCAGAGTAAGAGTATTAAATGTACCTTGCTGTACTGCGGGCAGTCTTTGGCGTGTGTCTCCTTGTGCTTGCGCTGTATCCACGCGCCGCAGCGCAGCGGGCACTGCTCCAGGATACTACCGCATAGCTTCAAGTGGCTCTGAGAAGGGCGAAAGCATTATAAATAGAAATATACGATTTTTGTTTTTAAGATGTTAGCAGGTTGGGTTTCATCAGCGACCAAGCTGTAGGTCCTGGGCATGGAAAGGTTGCAGTAGAGGTTTGATTATTTCCATAGTAGATCAAGCCAAAAGACATCTAATGATCTAATCTAAAGTAGTCCTTCATATCAGTTTTTTTTTTCTATTCCATAGTACTCTAGGAATAATGAATTTATTTGTTCTACTCAAGGATTTTTTTTTCAAACATCATCTAGCAAAAATATTGATGATTGGTTAACCTTGGATCAGATAACACATTACACGCCTGATAATACAATCGCACTGAAGCCGATACAACAACATAATCTACGATGAGCGATTGAATTAGATGTTAGGAACCAAAAATAGACAGATAATACAGATTCTTTGTTATTAATAGTTTGTATTGTTGCAAATGAAGCCAGACTATGTCATAAACCACTTGTCTTTTTAACTTGCAAAGTTGCCACTATAACCATCGCCATTAGAAAAGCGGCGCCATCGAATTCGCCCTATAGGTGTGGTGAACCGCGAGACTCCTCCAACAAGGTTTCCTATTTGAGAGAGAAAAAATAGGAAAACTTCGTTAGAGTAATCAAAAGTACTGCACCTGCAGCTGTCCCAACTCGAACATCTCATTGCAGAAGTAGCACGCACTCTCCCTCGCGTTCCTCCGCCCCATCGTGCCATCTCCCTCCCCTGAGGCCCTCTTGTTCAAACTCATTGCCACTGACACTTTCTTCAGCACACGTTTTAATTTTTCCACTTTTACGTCTTTATGAAACTTTTAAATCGCATTTTCATTTGATGTTACATTTTTAAATGTAAACAGTCAGTCATTTAATTTCAACTTTGTTTAATCAATCCAAATTAGTGTTATTTAATTCTAAAAAAAATCTATACTTCACTTCAATTAATCTTGTTCTTATCTAAAGCATTTGATTGAACAGTAGGTAATTCCAGGAACTTATACATTTAGTAGAATGTAACAATTTCTATTCATGGCTGAATTCTAAAGAACTTTTCTTTCACATCACTTTGGGTATTTGTATTGTCACTTTTACACAACACTATTATGAATCCGAATTTTTATTTTATTAATTTAACAGCAATAAAAACAAATTTCACCAAAACAATGGCACTAGTGTCAGCAGCGCCTTTTGTGAAGTGAATTAGAGCACTATCTCTTATCAGTGGAGTCATTGATACCTGATACGGGGCGGAGCTGATAACGGCGGGCAGACACGCGGTATGCACGCTAGCCAATGTTTTTGGGTCAAGGGAAATATATTAATAATAATAAAAAATAAATCTTTTGACACTTTTCACACAACGCCAGCTAGCCCCAAAGTAAGCAACTTAATGCTTGTGTTATGGGTGCTAGCTTAACGGATATACTACTTATATACTTTTTTTTTAAATACATACATATTATACATAGTAACACCCAGACCCGTCACAGAAATTAAAATTCATCATTTCAATTTCTGCCCGGCCGGGAATCGAACCCGGGACCTCTCGGCATAGTAGTCCGTTCTGAACCACTACACCAAACGGCCGACAAATCGATATTGACTGTCGATATTCATACATATTTGGATTTTGGCAATATTGGGACAAGTATTGTGGCTCAATTGACGAACACTACAATTTTATTTAATTAAACAATAAGTAATGCAAATATTGTATCACATCTTATCTTTTATTTTATTAATTTAACAGCAATAAAAACAAATTTCACCAAAACAATTCATACTCGATAGTGATTGCCTATATCAGGGATTTTTTAAACCCAGACTAACGGCACAGGCCTAAGTGGGTTTTCTCTGGCAGTCAGATTGTCCTGGAGGTTCTTGCAAAAAAAGAAGAAAACTACGTCTATTAAATGAAAAATGAGAATTCATTAACTTGTAAATAGTGAAATGAAAAGGTCGAATTCCAGGTTCCTGTTTAAAGATCATCAATTATAACACTCATGACTTCCGAAGTTAATAAGGAGTCCTGGAGTTGGACATTCAGAAAATCCTCACGATTAATATTGTCCTGCGTTCTTTATGACAAGTCCGCCATACGAAAATGTATCAAAAGCTAATATTTGGTCAGATGCGCACGCGTCGACTGCGGTTATTACTCCTATGGCGTAATGTGATATGTCGTTACGTCAAATGTTTGATTGATGCAAACATGTCTGACCTTTACTTTGACTAGTACACTGTCTTTTAGCTTATTTGTCGGCCATAAATACTAGAGGGACAAAGGTAACAATATTGCCTGGTTTGTGTTTCAGCTCTCAAAAATGTGACATGTGACAATCCGACTGCGAATCGAAAGAAGAGGAAGACCTATCTCTTCAGAGCATTGATGACTTAATATTATTATCTAAACACTGATGCATTAAAACCTTGTTTGGTTGGGCGCATTAGCCCCACGTGGTCTATAAAATGAGAGCATTGACTTAACGTGATGCTTCGAATGCTTGCTAATCAAATTCGCAAACCGAGTCCATGCCATATCGGTGTCATTTCTCAGATGTGCGTTCGCGCAAATTTCGCCATTCACGCGTAACGTCAAATAAATTGCTTAATATTAACACAAACCCATACTATTGACATAAAATATTGTTGTTTTCATTCACCAATAACCATATATTATTACTCCAGTTAATTTTAGCTTCACATTGACCTTCAAACATTTCGTCAATAGTAATCAGGTTAAGAATTAAGCAACAATTTGGCATGTGTAAACACAATTAAGAGAGAACTTGCGTCCTATCCTTGGAGCTCGCTCTAGGTAGATGGTTTAATTTTATTCGCTCCAGCTCATACAGGATACCCAGGCCCACGAGGTGGTCAGATGATCAGATGGTCATTGAGAGAGACGGAAATCCGATGAGTGCAAACGGTTTAAGGTTTATTCGTGTATAAAAAATTGTCCTGCTTCAGCCTAGGTTGAACATTTCAGTAACTAACAGCTCATTTACCGCTATTTCCATTTACTCAAAAAACTTGATTAAGTTTAAGCAATTATCATGCTGAAATGTCTAGTGTTACAAAATATGCCCTTGATTTTTTTTGTATCTGCAAAATGTACCTACTTACTGATGCGTTAAATACCCATATTTTATATGTTATCAGACCAATAGATGTTCCAATGGCCGCTGACGGTCTCGGAACAGGTTCCGAACTGTTACCTAAAAGTTGCGCTTGCGCCGAGCGAGAAATGTTGCTAGGGCTGCCATAATAATTATAATATAATATTATGTAGGTACTTGTTCAGACTGTCACGCTAGTTATAAATCTGAAACTAATCAGAGCTTAAGCTAATTACTTAAACGACCTATTTGCATTTAATATCTCTGTAATATAAATAATATGAAAACAATTAAGTACATAATAGGTTTTGTGTAAAATGTTCACTCGAAGCCTGTTATAGAAACGCTCGGCGTATTTAAAATGCACATATACTGCGTCGTGTAATTGATGTAATTTTTATTATTTTATTTTATTACCGTTACTAATTTTAGTCTTATTTTACTTCCAACTTCCAAGGTCCAACCCTACTTGACAATGACACTGAGGAGCAAAGCAACTAAACTTTAATTGTTATAATGACCTACTGCCATTAGCAGACACCTTACTCACTTACGTTGAAAGTGTTTAAAATTTATTGAAGTTAAAAACTCAACGGGCGAAATTAACATTGCAAATACTAGTTTCGTTTACATATAAATGATAAAACATCATTAATCCAGTTTAATTTCATAAAATACCTAATTCATTTCAATGTCATTCTATAAATACAACAAATAATACACTACTAAGATTAAGCTCATGGCTGCTGAAAGCACTGCACACGAGTGTTGCGTGACCCTGAAAACCTTACGGGCTACGTCTGCTAATGAAACGTCATAGCATAATGCCTGCAGCAGCCTCATTAACAACAAATAAAGCTTGAATACGATTAGCACGCAATGCGATGTCTTTATCAACTTTATTTGAAAATAGAACCTGCGCCTGCGCAACTTGACAGCTGAGACCTCAGTGCCTGTCCGACTTTCGCAGGGAACGGTCGTGTCGCGCTTCCGTGCCAACAGCGCGATTTGACGTACGCGTAACACACGTTAGCTTGACCGGCTTCCGATAACTTTGTTTTGATGTGTTCTAAGGTGTTCTGTGAAGTGTCAATAAGTTAACACCGAGGAGCATTGTAAGTGTAAGTTGTTTATTCAATTTGAAGGGTAGTTGCTTGCGCAAACTTGCGACTTAATTGTCTGTGGCAAATATTCTAAAGTGGCTAGGTAAATAAGTATAGTTTTGGAAATTACTATGGCCTTGTTGAATTTATAAAAGCGATACGGCTATTTATTCAACTGGTTATTATGTTGTTTCTTTGTATATCGTCATTGTTAATAGAAATTAGTTTTTTAATTAATTGGATTGTTTATCTCTTTGCGTACGCATTAATTTTGTACCTACTTACTTTACGCGTAATATTTGAAATACAACTTTTCAAGTTTCTTGAATTATGTTAATGATGGTGGTGGTCCTTTTATCGGTATCAATGTAACATTCACCCAGATCAATGGTCGGCCTTGATCTACCGATGAGATTTACTTACTTCAAGAGATTTCGCAAAATTCACAAGTTGTATAATGTTTTTTACGTTATGTATTTTTTGGACAGTTCATTTTTTATTTGTTGCATCATAATAAAATTGTAGTCTGGTCTCGAATAAAAATGCAAGTAGTGAAGGTTGAGTGCAAGCAAGTGCACCTGTAAATTACCTAATTAATCAAATTTAATTTCTTTCAAATTTTCCAATGAGATCCAACTATCAGAAATAATGATAACTTGAACCCATGGGCAGATGAACTGTTGGTAAAAAGTTAGCAGGAAGTATGCTTTTACAAGTTCGAAACCAATGATCAGATTTGACAGAGGTATTACTTAAATTCCATAATTCTGTACATTTCGTGCAAATATCAAGGTGATATTATTATTAAATACTCAGATTTGCAATCCCTTTGGATGTGAAAAAAATTAAGCTCCTAAGTCAACGCAGTCAAAAGTTACAGTAGGATACTTCCCGTTTCTTCCCGTCTTTTTGAAGATACTTCAAAAATTGATAGAATCAAATATTTACAGCACATCTAAAGAGAAAAGTCCTAAACTATTTCATTTGTACGAGTAATTGTAGGTACAACATTTCTATGCTATTACAAACTTATTAAATTACAACTATGTTGGGATAGCAAGTAAATTCAAAGGCGAAAAAGAGTTCGATTCGCACTTGGCCGTTTTTTTACCTACATCAAAGCTTGCTCGATATGACTAACAATATTACACGCTTGCCAGTCCCTGGCAGTTCTCTTATTTTGCCTTCAAGAAACAAGTTGTCCGTAATTGTTTGTCTTCAACAACCACTTCTCTGTCGTTATTACCCATCTGATCCATGTAGATAAGTAAATAACATCATAACAATGAAAATAACAGTTGAAATTGTGTTATTATAACGTTCAAAGTTCATCATGTAATTGCAAAAGCAAAAAATAGGTAAAACAAAATATATTTTTGGATTGTTAAAATGGAGAAACTGGTTTAAATAAAATAGGTACTTGTAAGTAGGTAGGCAACTACTGCATAAAATACAAATTAAAATCATTGTCGCAACTGCATGTGTATAAATCTCCAAAATGATACCCAAATTGTAACCCTGAAATACTGCACCTGTACACTGCAATAGCTTATTTATTTATTTAATATTTATTCGTAGGTATACAATGAATGTATAAAAGCAGGTACTGGAAAACATAATGCCACACGATATTCTCTCCCTCTATTATATGGGCCAAACAGCAATTAGGCAATCTTACTTGCCGTTTATTCCATTACGGAATTATAGTCCATTATAAACACAAATCATTTTCGAGTCGCTTATTATATCAATATACCACCCTGCGAGTAGGTATATGACTATGATATATGACTATTATGTGTAGTGACTGCCGATTTTTGCGCAGGACGCACTGGCGTGGAAAGTTATATTATCGTACCGTCTTATTTGCCTCTACCGTGCGATTATCGCTGTTGTTCTCCGGCTAAAATACCGGTTTTGTTATTTATGCATCTCCTGACAAGCAACATCGAGATTTAAATTACTTTATAACAATAAGAATATGATTTATACCTTATTTATCACGTCACAATAACTATAATATGAAGGGTTTATAAATAAATCTAGCGGAATACGCGGGGTTTTAACTTAGAATTGCATTAAGATTTTTCCAACTTGTCTCTATCATCTCGTAAGTTTATTTAAGACCAAGCTTTGATCATTATAAAAACAAAGCTTTATCTTAAAATATATTGCATAACCCTCTTTCTGGCTAGGAAAAACCATTTTACATCCATACCTTGGTCCTTAAACGATATTGCGATCAAGAGCAAGCGCAACAACCAAACAATAATATAAATCTTTTGTAGTGGAAAGAAATATGATTAAAGTCACGTCATCAAGGAAAATTACAAGATGATGGTAGAGCTGGCTAATTGGTCTTAAGAAGGGCACGGCAAACTGCTTTAGCAATTTCGCCAAAAAGCCCTGTGTCATCAACGAGCAGGTCAAGACCTTGCTAATGGGCGTGACCCTGCGGAAAATCTTCACTTGCACGTAAACACTTGCATGTAAGATATTTGTTTGTGTATTAAATGGTAATTTTGGCGGCTTCTGACGAACTGGAAATAATATTTAATTTATGGAAAGGTCGACTGTGCAACTTGCATAAACAAAGCTCCTATATACCTTCTCGATTCACATCAAGCAAAGATTCAAATCAGGTCTCAACGTTGATTCAGGATACACGCCTAAAACCAATTAACTACCTACTTCAACAACATTAAATTATTGCCTTAATGGGTTATGACATCAAGCATAGGTACACGTGTAAATAAGTACTAAATAGGTCCGGTCAATGTCTTGATTTACCACTCTGTTTGTTAAATCAAAAGATAAGCATATTAAAGTCAACGAAGTCTGCAAGCTCAGCTCATTCCGCAGTCCGCCCGCACCACGGTTGCGCAAGGTTCCTACGATCGACTCAGGCGCATTTCACTAGTAAAAGTGCTGCGCAAGAGTTGCTCGAATCCACACTTCGAATTTGATTGAGGAGTCATGAGCCTTCGCAACACACATTTACAAAATAGATGACGATGCTTAGTTTAGTAGGCATTTAACGATATTTATAAAGTCGGTGTTCACTCTTATCCATTCGTGTAATAACTTTGTTTTGATTGTAACTTAACATAATAACGGTGTCGTGTCTGGACTGGACTAATTAGTTTTTATTAAGGACAGATTCTCTATGAACCAAGGAAGAATAAAATCAAATAGTATTAAAGTTACATAAATTAAAGGATTTTACATTTGTACGTCGCGCGTCGTAATGCATTTCGGGCACATGTATGATCAATTAACAAAATATTTTGTAAAAACCTAATAATGCATTTGCACTTAATTTCCATTGAAATACCATAAATTCCTGTCGCTTATGGGAAACGCGTAATGAATAGGCAGCATTGTGTTGCAAACTGCCTGTTTGGTAACGTTCTCACAGCGTGCGTACGCGCCGTGCGATATGGTAGAGCTGTGTACACATCACGTCCACGAATATTCGGTTCATGAATGCTGGAAGATGTCTACCATTGTATACTTGATCTTCATTTTCCTCTAATGTTGTCGGGCTAAAGACTTGATGACAGACTCACGTAAGCCGCCACCAGTGTGCAATACTTCTCGAATGTTATTCCCACCGCTGCAACTCCTGTGTAGCCAGGCAATAGTTAAACTGAATGACGAAAGTTAGTGCACTTATTTAATTTACTATAGTATCCATTTCTTAGTTTTCTTACTTAAAAAACTACTCCCCACATAATTATTAGGTACTGTCGTGCACTGTCTGTCTCACAAACTTCTTGCATAAAATTAACCATCAGGTGAGATGCAGGCCAAAAAGCGTCCTCTTTGCGGATAAAAAAAGCCCTAGGCAAAATTTACTTGAAATAAAATTTTAATAAGTAGTTGTAAGGTTTTTCAACAGTCGTACTAGAGGACGTGCCTTTACCACGCTCATTTGTGGCGAACGAAGCGTTTTTAGGAAGCGGTAACTTTATTTGTAAACTGGGTATTTGCGGTAATTTAGTGATAAATTGAATTTCTTCACTAACACCTCGTTATAGGGTTCAACGTCTTGACTATACTCATAATATAAGTTAAAATCTTCTACTGTGTTAGTTTGCAATGAATCTTACTAATATTATAAATGCGAAAGTTTGTATGGATGTCTGGATGTGAACATGTTTGTTACTCTTTCACGCAAAAACAACTGAACGGATTTAGATAAAACTAAAGTATTATTGTTTATAACCCAGAATAACAAAAGTATACTCTATATTTTATGTCGATCACACGGGTGAAGCCGCGGGCAAAAGCTAGTGTCTAATAAGCTTGGAACGTGAGATTTAGATTTTATCATAAGAGCTAGAGTTTTCAGATTTTGGCATTTAAATATTTCCAAACAACGCTCTTGATCGTGTGAATCTGGATCAAATTCCAGCCTGTGACTGCTCCAAATATTGATATTAAACCAACCAAAACAGAGTTGAATCTGCTTTTCTTTGAAAGAGAGTCAAGCGGCGTTTTATATTCGAGTTTTAACATCCTTTAGAGATCTTAATAATCGTAGTGCAACGCGGATATTCCTGCACTCAAACGTGATGACGAGTTAACCATTAGTGATTTATTAATTGAGACAAATAAGAACCGGCTTAACCACAACATCAAACTGGTGTTGTAGTGTTAATGGCAGTTTGTCGTGATTTATAGAATCACCTAGGCGCGTGCAGTGCATACAGTCCTGGCAAACGATATTTGATGAAAATCACTTTTTATTGTTGAGTATGAATAAAACACATACAAATGTAAATCGCTGAAAACGTCCTTTGCAAGGGTATCAGATAGCTCCACAATAGTACCTACATTTATTTCAGTTTTAAATAAATAGGCCAAGCTTTATAAAGTACTAGCTTTCCGCTCGCGGCTTCGCCCGCGTGGAATTTTGTCTGTCACAGAAAATTTTTATCGCGTGCGTCCCTGTTTCAAAAACCGGGATAAAAACTATCCTATGTCCTTTCCCGGTACTAAAACTATCTTATGCC